TGATTCACCTGACCTCGACCTAATTTCACGGATCAGTGAATAAGGTTAAGTTTCAGTGGTCAAGTCCTTACAGTCTCAGATAGTAGTGGGTTAAATATATTTGGTGTATGGAATGGTAACAAGGTGTACGTGATTTTGTGGCAGAGTTCATCTGACCTTACCTCATTTACATGGAACATTGATTGTGTTAATTTTATGTAATACTTGTTGTATAATATAAAAATTAGGAGATGTGGAAGCAAGCAATTATAGGCAACCGTACAGCCTTCAACAATGTGAAAAACTCATACCGTATGGTCGGCTATAAAAAGGCCAGTTATGAAAAAAATGAAAGAATTCATTTGAAAAAAAAACTAACGGCCTGATTTATAACAAAAGCTAGTTTTTACGGTAATGATGTTTATGATCATACTTTTCTCAGACTATAGATGACGTCCTTTCGTTAGTTTTCAGTAAGGGAACACCCATTTGATTTCGAAAACAGGGAGGGAATGAGGATTTTGAAAATGAATTACTTGGCCTGGTATGAACTGAAAAAATTGACTTTGCACAAGTCAGGATGAGAATGAACACTCTTCAACATGAAATGCAGGATAGTTGAGGATAGGCAGAATATAGAATGTTCTACCCTAACGGCGAGTACTATTATATCGGTACTTTGTGTTTTTTGTCTTCACGTTAGTTGTTTTTGTGCTTCATGCCGATTTGATAAGTCAAGCCATTTCAAACTGTTTTTCAGCAGATTTTTCTTATGCTGTGTTGTTATACCATTGTCCAGGTCAGGGGAGGGTTGAAGGATCACAAACTTGTGTATATGTCTGTCCAAAATTAGAAGCCAGCAATTAAGTGGTTGTCGTTGGTTGCTGTCTGTGTTGTATCCGGTTTTTTTTTGTTGCACGAACGGTGGTATATTTTTGTTGTCGTTTCCACCTAGTGGGATTTCGGTCGAAAACATCATACAAGACTTTTGATGTGCCATATTCCGGGTGTGAAACAAAACCGACCGATTTGATTCATATACTACAATTATAACAAAATATTTATTCAATAAAAAGTTTAAAGTTTTGAAAAACAGACACAAAACAGATTTCTCCGAACAAAGTGACAATCTATAAAGTTAGCTGGCTATTCACAACAAATAAAACAACCACACAACAAGCAAAAAAGACAAATGCTCTGAGTGACCTCTGTCCTTGTTGAATGAATGAATGAATGAATATTTTATTTGCAAAAGCATAAATAACATGCTATGGCAATAAATAGACAAGTATATACAATGTGACAAAACGACATATAGCAGAAAACAATACATAATGTAATAAAGGTACAATTAATTCACAATACATGATCTAATTTTCCATGCATGTTTCAGATTGTTACACAGTTTAATTATAATTGATTTAGATTTTGCTTGAAGCAAATGAAAAAGTTTAAAAGTATTTGGCCAAGAACAATAATATTTTGGCAAATATTCTAGTCTCACAGTTCTGTAGGCTGGACATACAAGTACGAATGACCTAATAGTGTAAGCAACAAAATGATTAATGGCACGAGATAATCCGTGTTTAATTAATACCAAAATGTTGACTTAATTTGTGTTTTTAATTGCTAATTTCTTCAAAACGATTTTTATTTCACGCATGCAATTTGGCACACACATGCAATGTGTCTTATTGCTTAAATCAGAGTAAAAAATATTGTGATGATACACGTAATAATTTTGCTTTCGATGAAAATGGGTAAATTTCGGGTAAAATTTTACTCTTACTAAAATGCTGAAATACTTATATCAAAATCACTTAAATCCTTTCCGATTTCGTTATATGATATATTTGATATATAAACTATATTATAGGTACTGTTTTAACTACCAACAAAGAACGCAATAATTATATTTTTCATGTTAAAGATTCCCCGTACAATACGGTATCTGGTGGTACCCTGTAAAAACACGAAATTTAGAAAATCGTGACCACGGGAACTTACGACGACAATCATGATTGTAAAATATAATGATTTTCCTATAATGTGCAAAAAAATCAGCCGAGTGTTATCCGTTAACTTAAACTCGTTAACTAGAGGACTTTTTGGACATTGGGCACCCTACTATATCCCAGTGAACATGAGATTTAGGATACTACAAAAACTAGAAGGTTTGCTTTATACCTTTATCTTTATCGTTCCGCGACATTGACACAGATGGACGACTTCCAACTAGAATCTATGACAAAATTGATGATTTCAACTTTCAAATTATTAACTTCCTATTTCTCAACAGGAACATACCATCTACCCTATCGTATAACGTATACATAAACTCAAAATACGTTACGATGGTGCATGTTTACACTATACAGACTCCATTAACAGGAATGTGTTCCTGGCACAAACTGATCGAACCGAGTTGTGAGGAAAACGACTGAAATCGAAACTACATAGGTTTCACTATCACCGTCTCGAATTGGTTAACCGATACAATATGTCTGTGTCTCAATTTAGTAGCGACATGTTTTTTCGGTCTTATACCTTTAAATACCAGAATGGTCGTTTAATCTGTAGTTTAACGGATTGTGTCCTATTCCCGATTGTGACATTTTGACTGAGTGTTGATTCTCATGGCGGGTAATCGTTAAATTCAGTAATATATAATAAGGTGGTAAACAACCATCGACCATAGACCAAATGACGTAGATATTAGCAATAGACAATTAGTGTCGATTGTAGTCGTTTTTCCTCATTACTCTTTTGGGGCAGTTTTTGTGCAAGGAGTATCCCTGTTAAGGAAGTCCGTATATCATGAATATGCTCTAGCGTAATGTATGATTGAGATATGTAAATGTCATACAATGGAGCGAAGCTATGTTACTGTAGAGAAATGGGTATTTGAAAAGTGGAAATATGAAATGATCACGTTTGTTAAAGATTCTGGTTTTAAGTCGTCCAACTTTCAATATTGAGTAAAAGATAAAGATGTAAAGCAGGCTTTCTAGTTTTGAAAGTATCCTTAATCTAAAGTTCACTTGGATAAGCAATGAAGTGACAGGACATCAAAATTTTGATTACACAATATCCGTATTTTCAGAATTTCAAAAGGAGGTTTTGTCGAACATCTTGACGACTCGGCTATATATCGTTCTTTATAATGATTATAATGAAGAATATCACATGTTGACCAACAAACTCAGACACATTTTGAAAATACAAAAACTTTCGAACATTGAATACGTTGTGCAGAACTCTCTATTTGTGATAACTGTTATATATAACATTGAATCTAATATTGGTTACAAAGGTTTTCTGTATCATAAATTCATGGAACTTCCAAGTATGGTTTCTTTAAGTGAAAATCCTTTTATAGAAGTATGAATGGCACAAGGCGTGTGTGTCGTCCTTTGATGTTTCCAAATTATTTTGAAAAGAAACTAAAATAATGAAACTGAAAAATACTTTCAGAGACCAACGTGGAATTAAAAGACTTAGAAGTAATTTAAAGATATCCAAGTTAATTGATTGGTGTGCAGTCCAGGTAAGGTTAGAGTAAAGTCCAAACAAATGTCGAATTCAAACTAATTTCAAAACGAAAGTAACACTTGATAAATTTCGTGCGTGCAAAGCGCTTTTCTTGATTGACCATCACAGGAACGCTCGCTGGATTGTCCCAAAATGTAATTCCATTAGTTATTTGTAACTGTCTAGTAACTTTAGCGTTTCAGGTTTATATATTTCAGTTTTGGATTTGAAGATAAACCCGTGCTTAAATACAGATCTGTGATCATCCGCGGTTTTAGTGGGATTTGTGTTTCTAGTTTTCTATGTAATTTAGGGCCAGCTGAAGCTCGCCTCCGGTTGCGGGTTTTTCTCGTTGTGTTGAAAACCCATTGGTGGCCTTGGGCTGTTTTCTGCTCTTTGGTCGGGTTGTCTCGTCTGGCGCAAATACAAAATTTGAATCCTGGTATCTATGATGAGTTTATTTGACACATTACCCGTTTCCATTCTCAATTTTATCTCGTTTGTCTTTCCATCTGTAAATTTACTGATTCCGTATTGTGGCATTTTGATTAGCTTAGCGATTGATATATGCATAGCAGGAGACGCTTATATACGTTTAATGTACCAAGTCAGGAATATGACAGTTGTTTTCCATTCGTTTGATGTGTTTGAGCTTTTGATTTTGCCATTTGCTAAAGGATTTTCCTTTAAGAATTTTCCTTGGATTTCGATATTTTTGTTATTTTACTTTTTATCCTGTCGACGCAACCAGTGCCGCTCCTTTTGAAGTTCATGCGATTGATCTTTATTTGTATATACTTTATGGAGACAAGAGATTTGATCATCGGAAAACTAATGTGGCAATAAATTTATTGTTATTAAACCTGTGGTTATTATAACATTTATCTGCATCAGATCCACATTTAAACAACTGATATTTAATTACAAAATTGAGAATCCGAATTAAATTAACGACATACAGCTGAGTCACCCGAAAGAACCAATTGCTAGTAGTAGGGCAAACCCGGTATCAAAGTTATACATGAGGGAGTCGATCAATAATTTCCAAATGAATATAAAAAAAAGATTATAATATTTTTACTAGGAATATACCTTATGAAATGAAATAAAGACTTTATAAATTTGGAGCGTCCAAAGAAATTTGGTTGATTTAACTTTATCAGGAACGCTCAAATCTATACATTTGAATGACTGAGGGGATGCATTATAGCCGCTATGACCAAAAGGACATTATAGCCGCTATGACCAAACGGACATTATAGCCGCGACGTTAGGAGCTATATGACCAAAAGGACATTATAGCCGTGATGTTAGGAGCTATATGACCAAAAGGACATTATAGCAGCGACGTTATGAGCTATATGACCAAAAGGACATTATAGCAGCGACGTTAGGAGCTATATGACTAAAAGGACCTATATATGTTGCTTCTATTTACATCATAAGTAGAAGTTCAAGTACAACAAAAGATTTATCTAATAAAATACAAATAGGTTATATGTTTAATGGTTCAATGCATCCAGAATATCATTAGGGTAGATAGTACAAACTATAAAGATACGCACCAAATAAGGAACAATACCATATATTATACGATGTCATTATAACAAAATTAGACGTAAAATATCTGATAAATTTAACATTAACAAACAAATCACAAATGTGAAATGTTCAAAATTTGTTTAAAATAAACGCAATATATTAATATCATAAATTAAATGCAATTGACAAAAAAATATTATTAAAGCGTTTGCATTTGTTACAACATTAACATTATCAAACAAGTAACACATGTAAATCTGTTACATTCATTTGGATACAAGTTGATATTTAACAAAGTTGATACAAACTGTACGAACCATTTTACAAATCAATTAATTATTATGCATATCAATAAACTTTTTGAATTCTTTCGTAATAATCTTTAACTACTTTTAATTTTTGCAAATCAACTACATTTTCTATCACTGACAGTGTCTATTAACTTTAATTAAAACTGAAATGTCAGGCAATTTTATAACTAAATTCATTGTTTTCTTTAAAACTACTTTCTTCTAACTATGAGGGAAATCATGAAACTTTGAAATGATAACGAAAGTAATCTTTGGAAATACGTGTCCTTGTTGCAATCAAAGTTTTCAATCTAGTTAACAAAAACTTTTACTGTCGTCAAAATATTTAAAAGAAACACATTATTATTTATAAACAAAACAAAACAAAAAAGCAATAGATTATAGAGAGGGTGTATAAGTCTTTTCAGCATTATATTCAATTCTAATATCAATTAACGAGAACATCAAACACTTAATTGCACTTTGCAGTAAATTCATATATAGGTAGTTATAAATTCCTTTTATGACAATGCATGTCTTGAAATGATGCAATGCTTTTATAATCATTGCAAATTGTTATTTTTGACCTTTCCTGATGAACATTGGACGTTTGGTTTTCATCTGAATACTTCTGAAATCATAGGTGTGTTCACTTAAAAGATAAAACAACTTCCAACAAAACATGATTATAATCTGTCGATGAAACCCTGAAACTTTACCCTGCATACATGATAGATAAAAGCTATTCCACACAGGCATTATCTGATACATTGCAAAGGTATATCTAATAATGCATAGCACTTTTCCCTATAGTATGAAACATTGCATTCGAATGGCAGTTGGTATAAAAGTATAAATAATATATAAAAACCCGGTTTGAGTAAAAGTGTTACTGTGTATAGAATTATTCTGATATAAATGTTATTTGTTTATTATTTTTGCTTGTCTTTTTCACTTTTCTTGAACAATCCCTTTCTGAATATAGAACTACCAGACGACTTCCTATCTCCAGGTTTTGCCAAAGGCACAGTTTCAGGAACAGCAGATTTTCTATACACAATAAGATAATTATAAACGTTTGAGAGATTCCTCGTTTCTCCATCCCTTAGGCGAGCGTATATTGCCAACATGTAATTGCCAGTTTCAGGGAGATTGACCTTAAACAAAGTTTTCTCTGGATTTGATTCTTGTCTTGCCATTGCCACTTGATCACGAATATCACCTCCAGGTTCTCTAAGAAACTGATGAGAAACGGAAACTGATCGTGGAACAAACAATTCAATTGTAATTTGATTTGATTCTGAACACTCTATTTTTGCATCGGTATGAGAAACAGTTCTCATTCCAAGCTCTTCAAACATAGGTGACGGCCCCCATTGCGAATCACGTTTCGTGGTTGTTTTCGGTCTAATCTTTGGAATGTCCACCGGTTCCGTCACCTTCAAACAATTCAGGAGATATTTAAATGCATGTGAAAGTTTTTTGTCGTGAGAATCAAGCGGTCTAGCATACACATCAATTCCATACTGTCCAGTTTGTGGCGGTGATACTGTAATTCTCAACGTTGTGCGATTCTCTACTGTGTGGTGTACGAAGGGGTCCAAAGCCTTACTGTCGACTGAGTTCATCCTCAACTTTATTACAAATTGTAATGGTTTTGTCAACTTAAACACTAAATCCACTGTTTCATTGACATTAACAATTCCACCCTTTGGATTATCTGGTGTATCTTTTAATTGAGTATCAATTACTTCTGTATCTGATTTTAAAGATGTTGTTTCACTGGAGTCGTCTGAAATAGTTTCATGATCTTTGTCTTGATGCTTAACTGAAATAGCTTTAATTCCAAAATGCCGTTTTCCCTTTTTTGGACCCCATTCACCTGCAGCACATTCCGGTAATGGATGCATTTTGCCAACAAGAGTTTTGCAAACGATCTTAAATTTACAAGCACACTTCAACCTGAATGATGATACTACACCATCGGAGGCAGTTCCTTTTGTATCTTCTGCTTCATCAAGTCGATTGGCAAACACTTCAAAGAAGTATTCGCCTGGCGTTGGTACATGCACACTAAACATGACAGTGTTATCAATCATTGTCATGTATACAAACCGTTCTAAGTAAGCACCCCGGTAACCAGCTTCGTGACGACGTTCCTTGTCCGCAAAGCGTAGCTGGTAGAAAAATACAATATCATTTTCAAGTTTTTCATTGACCTTAAGTCTTACATCACATCCTCCTCTGTCTGAAGTTTCAATAACTGCCTTCAGTCCTCGATCAAAATGCATCCCAAAATGAAAGAATACGGATCTGACAAAGGGAAGCTGTTCAAATTCCTCTTTGGTTATTGGTTTCTCCAATAATTGCCAATCTGGGTCATTAGGCCAAAATTCTTGAATAAATTCATCTGGATCTGTAAGGAAGTAATGCTCGTCATACTGATATCGGATTGTGTCGTTCACTTTTGATTCGTCACCTTTACCATTTTCTGTCGCATCCCCATTTTCTCCATCGTTCTCATCTGCTCCCTCTTTCTTCTGTTTCTCAGCTTCTTTTCTCTCCTGTTCCCTCTTTTCGGCTTCCTTTCTTTCTTGCTCTTTTTTCTCTGCTTCTCTTTTCTCCTTCTCTTTTTCTCTTGGAGAATCTGATTTTTTCTTATCCTTGTTCAGAACCAGGTGTCTATAATAACAATACACAATTATAGATGTGTTCATTATCGAAATTTGATTTTAAGGTAATTTGTAAAATGTAAGACGAAACTACTTAATTGAAAATCGACGTTAATGATATTTTTGTTAGCGACTTTATGTGAAGATAATATTACATTCATGCAATGAAGCATTTGTTTAGGACAATTTAATTATCTGTATATTGAAAAGATATTCATTTCATAAAAAAAACAGAAACAATTTATGAATTAACTTTTCGACAATAAAAACTATAGTATTTCAAGCGGCACTTATTCCTTCATTAAAAAGCAGATCCATATATACACAGATCACGATCGACATTTTTTTCCGACCTTAGATCAGACACCTAAATAATTGTTTGATCTGTAATTTTACCAATTATGTCCTATTCCCGCTTTTTGACATTTTCACTGAGTGTGACTCGCATCGTGGTTAATACATTCATTGCAGGATATACTTATCCTGTTGACACATATTGTCTTGATCATTTTGGAGTTCATGCCATTCCCTCAGTTTTTATTTGTTACCTTGATCTTTTAATCGATTTATGACGTTTGAACATCGATAACCTACTGTTGCCTTAATATACCAAACTGGTTTATTTGTCTGTCCATAAATTATAACATTTTTTCTTAGAATAGTACACTCTGCATAAGTCTGCATGGAAATGATTATCATACTTTATGTTAAACATCATCAATGTGAAAAATGTGTTTAATGGATAAAAATTCGTAAGGGTTCCGCGGAACACAGTGTCTCGCCTACTTTTGCTGTTAGTCGCAGGCTCAACAACAAGAGTGCACACGCTGAAATGTCTCGCCTTCTTTACTAATCAATGATATTATGTTGATAGTCCTAAATATAAAACTTTATTACAACTGTCACATAAACTTAACATTAACCAAGTAAACTAAACATTGACCAATGAACCATGAAAATGAGGTCAAGGTCAAATGAACCATGCTAGGCAGCATTTACAGCTAACAATTCTTCCATACAACAAATATAGTTGACCTATTGCTTATAGTTTAAGAAAAACAGACCAAAACACAAAATATTAACACTGAGCAATGAACCTTGAAAATGAGGTCAAGGTCAAATAAAACCTGCGTGACTGACATATAGATCATAAAATATTTCCATACACCAAATATAGTTGAACTATTGCATATAGTATTAGAAAAAAGACCAAAACTCAAAAACTTAACTTTGACCACTGAACCATGAAAATGAGGTCAAGGTCAGATGACACCTGCCAGCTAGACATGTACACCTTACAATCATTCCATACACCAAATATAGTATGCCTATTGCATACAGTATAAGAAAAACAGACCAAAACACAAAAACTTAACTATAACCACTGAACCATGAAAATGAGGTCAAGGTCAGATGACACCTGCCAGTTGGACATGTACACCTTACAGTCCTTCCATACACCGAATATACTAGACCTATTGCTTATAGTATCTGAGATATGGACTTGACCACCAAAACTTAACCTTGTTCACTGATCCATGAAATGAGGTCGAGGTCAAGTGAAAATTGTCTGACGGGCATGAGGACCTCGCAAGGTATGCACATACTAAATATAGTTATCCTATTACTTATAATAAGAGAGAATTTAACATTACAAAAAATCTTAACTTTTTTTCAAGTAGTCACTGAACCATGAAAATGAGGTCAAGGACTTTGGACATGTGACTGACGGAAACTTCGTAACATGAGGCATCCATATAAAAGGATGAAGCATTCAGGACTTCCACCTTCTAAAATATAAAGCTTTTAAGAAGTTAGCTAACGCCGCCGCCGCCGCCGCCGGATCACTATCCCTATGTCGAGCTTTCTGCGACAAAAGTCGCAGGCTCGACAAAAATGGGGAAAAAAATATTAAAAATGTTCCTCTAGATACTATCTTTTGATTGTAAGAAGTTCTGTTTAAGTTTGGTAAAAATCCAAGAAGGTTTATGAATCTAATAAATGTTTTAAAAACTTTAACTGCAGACTGTACGTAATGTTAACTGGAATAAAACTAAGTCCATTTATAAGTAATATACGGAAAAAAAGGAAATAAATTTTTACAAAATTTCCTTCTAGATACTAGCTTTTGATCATAAACAAGCTCCTTTCCAAGTGTGGTGCAAATCCAGGATAGTTTAAGAAAATTAGTAAAATGTGAAAAACTTTTACCACAGAGTTAATGTTATGTTAAATGGCAGAAAAACTAAGTCCATATATGAGTAAAATACGGATAAACAGGATTTTTTTTTTACAAAATATTCTTCTGGATACTATCTTATGATTATAAACAAGCTTCTGTCCAAGTTTGGTTGAAATGCAGGATAGTTTAAGAAAATTTCAAAAACTTTAACCACAGAGTGAATATTTGTGGACGCCGCCGACGACGCCGTACGACGACGACGACGCCGACGGAATGTAGGATCGCTATGTCTCGTTTTTGCGACTAAAGTCGCAGGCTCGACAAAAATCATATTTTAATTCTTAAATATAAATATACTGAAGTCCTTTATTTTTTTTTCTCATCCAGATGAAATTACTTCAAATAGTTTCATGCCGTAGTGCAAATTGATATATTTATTGTATCTAATTTGGCTAATATCAACTTTTTTAAAGAACACACGTACCTAGCACCCCAGTTGCACTGCACCAATCTCCAATCACCATCTATAAGCACAGCATTCCATGTATTCTGAAAGCTTTCTGGTTCGATTTTCATACCGGGTTCATAACCAACACTTTTAGAATGACCTTTTATCTCGTTACAGTGTAAACCCGCATAGCTACAATGAAAAAATATAAACTTGTCTAGATTTTACTATTTCTATGTTAACATCAGTTCATAGTTATCGAAAAAAAAAACAATATACGGATTCATTTCAAATACTTACACAATTTTATAGATCTACAAAAATGTTCATGATAAAAGTTGAAACAAAACATGTACAGATCTACAATATAATTGTCCTCCTTTATATATTAGCCAGAACAAACACCTGTATTGAAGAAACATATGTCTACCTCGCTTTGATAGGTGTATGATAATACCTGTTTTGAGTTTATTGATTGATTGATTGTATTTCCGCAATCTTGGCTATATCATGGCGGTCAGTTTTTATTAATGGAGGAAGCCGGAGTATCCGGTGGGTTGAATATATTACCTCAGAGTTGACAAGCTAGTGTCAGATCACTGAAGATCAACTACTTAAACCACTCGGACTTCGAGGCCACGGTTCTTAATTGAAGAAACACAAATATATCTCCATTTGATGATTCAGACTTCCTTGATAGAGTGTTACTGCTCACAAGGAAGCTGTTAAACCAAGAGTTCCAAGGGGTGAAGTTGAAATCATCCCTTCGTTATCAGCTTATTTTCAACTTATGAGTTTGTCATCCCTTCTTCAATAAACATCACATTATTACTGGGTCTAAATTCAAAAAAATCCAAAGCTTATCAGTACCATTATATTTTTCAACTTACCTACACAATCTCATGAACAAAACATGGTATGTTTCTGTTCCAAACTTAATGCCCTTTAACAATCCCAATGGGGTATTGGAATCTATTGCTTCTTCAAACTCCATGATATTTAAATCCTTTACAGTTATCCATCTATAGATTGCCCTGAAAGAGGAAAGACATACTGTATCTTGATTCACAAAAAGGGATTTAACTATTGTTATTAAAAAAATTCTGATATGATTTCGAAAATAGTAATAATTTCCAAACAGAGATCAAACTTGAATGTGTTTGTCAGGTCAAAAAGACTTTTGGAAATTTTTAGATGAAAAAGATCTATGTGTACTTGATAAAAAAAGTAAAAAATAACAAAAATACCGAACTCCAAGGAAATTTCAAAACGGAAAGTCCCTTATCAAATGGCAAAATCAAAAGCTCAAAGGCATCAAACGAATAAGTTTTCCACAACGGAAAATGATATATTATCGACACTGGTTAAATTTTTTAGACGTTTTAGCTGTGATAACACTATTTAATAACAATAATTACCTTGCTTTATCGATGTCATTTGGTAGATTTCCTGTCAATTTCTCCATCATGTCTGTGTATGTCAGATGGTCATCTTTAGCCACCTAACAAATGAAAAAATAAGCATGAAAATCTGTAAATATTGAAGTAGTATAATAAGCTCAGCTCAAATGTAATAAATTTTTGTATATAACTTAGAAGTGAAATCATTTAGAAACACATTGTTGCTTAGACATTCAGATAATGATATGCTAACAGAACAATGTAAACATTAAGAACAATATTGCTTAATCTAATAAATATTCAGAAGATATTCTAACTGTTCAAACGAACTTTTAAAAGTTATTTAACTTAATCTCAACTATAAAATGCAGAACAAACCTGAATGACTTGGTTGTCAATATCGTTGAACACACTAACATCAGAAAACAGATCTTTTTTCCTACAGCTTGGTGGGTGGGGTGGTGGTAATTCTGTAGTTGTTACTTCTAAGTTTAAAGCTTCCATGACATTTTCTATAACATCGGGTTCAGCAATATCACCATTTGTTGGCTAAATAAAAAAAATGAATGATTTATGATTCTACTGAGATGGTTTACAGATGACAAGATGACTTTCAAATATATGTACAGATGTATGCTATTTAATTAGATATACAGTTGTGTGGCATTCAAATACTAAAGTAGATGTACAAAGTTCCTAGAGATCTAAAGGTGTATGGCATGTAGATAGATGTACAGGTGTATGGCATGCAGATAAATGTAAAGGTGCGTAGCTTTCAGATAGATGTACAAGTGTATAGCATTCCTATAGATGTTCAGGTGTAAGGCATGCAGATAGATGTGCAGGTGTATGGTATTTAGATAGATATACAGGTATATGTCATTTAGATAGATTACAGGTCTGTATCTTTTAGACGGATGTACCTGTGTATGGCATTTATATAGATGTACAGGTATGTGGCATTTAGATAGATGTTCAGGTGTATGGCACTTAGATAGATGTACAGGTGTGTGGCATTTAGATAGATGTTCAGGTGTATGGTATTTAGATAGATGTACAGTTGTGTGGCATTTAGATAGATGTTCAGTTGTATGGCATTCTGATAGATGTATAGGTGAGTGGCAGTCAGGTAGAGATACAAGTGAATGTCATTCTGATAGATGTACAGCTGTGTGGCAGTCAGGCAGAGGTACAAGTGAATGTCATTCTGATAGATGTACAGTTGTGTGGAAGTCAAGTAGAGGTACAAGTGCATGTCATTCTGATAGATGTACAGTTGAGGGGAATTCAAGTAGAGGTACAAGTGAATGTCATTCTGATAGAAGTACAGTTGTGTGGCAGTCAGGTAGAGGTACAAGTGAATATCATTCTGATAGATGTACAGTTGTGTGGAAGTCAGGTATGGGTACAAGTGCATGTCATTCTGATAGATGTACAGTTGAGGGGAATTCAAGTAGATATACAAGTGAATGTCATTCTGATAGATGTACAGTTGTGTGGCAGTCAGGTAGAGGTACAAGTGAATGTCATTCTGATAGATGTACAGATGCGTGGCAGTCAGGTAGGGATACAAGTGTATGTCATTCTGGTAGATGTACAGTTGTGTGGCAGTCAGGTAGAGGTACAAGTGAATGTCATTCTGATAGATGTACAGTTGTGTGGCAGTCAGGTAGAGGTACAAGTGAATGTCATTCTGATAGATGTACAGTTGTGTGGCAGTCAGGTAGAGGTACAAGTGTATGTCATTCTGGTAGATGTACAGTTGTGTGATAGTCAGGTATGGGTACAAGTGAATGTCATTCTGATAGATGTACAGTTGTGTGGCAGTCAGGTAGAGGTACAAGTGAATGTCATTCTGATAGATGTACAGTTGTGTGGCAGTCAGGTAGAGGTACAAGTGAATGTCATTCTGATAGATGTACAGTTGTGTGGCAGTCAGATAGAGGTACAAGTGAATGTCACTCTGATAGATGTACAGTTGTGTGGCAGTCAGAAATGTCATTCTGGTAGATGAACAGGTGTATTATATTCAGTGTATGAGATTCATAATAGATGTACAGGTTATGATATTAAGACGTTTGTATAAGTATAAGACAAGTGTATTGCATCAAGATATGTGCACAAGTTCATGGCATTCAGATTGATATTTGGGTATTCATATGACATTCAGCTAGATGTACAGGTGTATGACATTCATATGAATGTACATCATTTTGTTTGATATTTGGATGGTGTACATATATAACATATAGATAAATGTAGGACTGTATGATATTGAAATAGATGTACAGGTGCTTGGCATTCAGACAGATGTACAAGTGTATTGCATGCAGATGGATGCTCAGAACGATTCTCATGTGTTTTACATCGTGATTGGTGTACATATATGCATATCGCATTAAATGAATGTACAGGTAGTTGCATGACATTCAAATAGATCGGAATAACAGTCAAATGGATTCATAGGTAGTTATATAACCTTTAGTTGCATGTACATGTAGTTATGTGACATTCAGATGTATGTATATATTACAACCTTCAGATTAATGTACGCATAGTTAAATGACATCCAGTTGCACGTACAGATGTATCACATACAGATAGATGTACAGGTGTATGACATTCAGATGGATGTGCATGTAGTTTTATTCTATTCAGATAGTTGTACATTCAAATTAAAATATTCGTGCTTGAAAAACAGAACGTAGTTGGGCGATATTCGAAAGGATCTAATGATAGTCGGATGACATCAGATGTATGATGGTTCCATGACATTCATGTCAATGTAAGGATAGTTATATAGAGCAATACGACAAGATATTATAGCTGAATTACATCCCCATAGTTATCACATACATCTTATTGATTTAATCCAATTAAAGAAATGGCTTCATGACTACAACGAAACTAAATAAGCATAACAATAAGTTGTTGTTTAATCTGGTGGTATTTTAATGATTGCCAATGACTTCTTGATATATCAACTTTTCATTAAAGTAAATATTTATCTCTGCATTTGTTCTGGTACTTTAAAAATGTTGTTCTGGTAATTTAAATATCTTTCTAAATCTTTACAGATTCACATGTCGATGTCTGTGTGAAAATCAAACTTAACTGACTGAAGAATTTGAGTGGCCTTAAATAAACGTACCAGTTCCTGAGCAACTTCCTGTTTTAATTCTTCTTGTTTGGCTGCCAAAAGCTGTAACATTTGCTGACTCTGTTTTTCAACCAAATTCGCCATCTTCCTTTGTTCTTTTTCTCGTACACGTATTGTCATGTTTTGTTTCTTTTCTGCCTTTTTCCTTTCTATTATATTTCCCAATTCCCTTTTCTGGTTTTCAAAGTTAACGGTCATTAGCTATAATGAAAATATAAAAGAATTACTATGACTGCTAATAACGTTTATGTGTTCTTCTTTAGTGATTTTTCTCTTTTTTCGTTTGTTATTGCACGTGCTATCAGAAAAAAATAATCTAATTAAATATTGTCATTAGCAAGCAGTATCAATCTTTTCAAGTGTTTGAGAGGGAACTGGAGAAAATATCCAGCTCATACTTAGTCCAAACAACAATGTGCTGTTTTGTTAAACTACTTTTACTTATATGCATCACTGCTATCGTCATCATTATCATTGATATTAGAGGAGGCATCAGCGCAAACAGAAAATAAATCTGTCTCCTACGGGAGGAATGGGGTGTCTAATGTTAATCCAAAATATCATCCTTGATATATCTTGTCAACATTTTACACAGTTATAGATAAGGATATGGTGTGATTTCCAATTGGACAACTTTCCAAAAATGTAAAACAATTCGAAGGAGAAAACCAACAGCCATATGTATGCTAAAACAATAAATAGAAAAACTATTAAGGCAGACTGCAACCAACGACAACTACTGGATAACAACAGGCTTCTGACTGGGGGACACGCACCTAAAGAATAGTGCGGTATCACCTTACCCTCCCCTTTCAGGTATACAATCAAACTTTCAAACCAAATCTTTGTATCTATGAAAGAATTAAGTAACGGTTTTAAGTAATTTGTGTTCATATATAGCCTATGTTCTGCAACAGACAAATAGACTCTTCAGGTCAAGTAAGGAATGTGTAATACATTAAGTAAATTGGGTAAAAGGTTTCACTGTTTACAGTAGTCGAATCAAAGAGGATATTATTTTATTTTAAAGACATCTTATCTCCAGTTTTTATCTGGATTGTTGTTAATTGAATTCCTTTATATCCAAGATACTATATACATTTGCTTATATTAGTTAAAGGAGTTACTCTTACTGGCATCCAGTAAAGGTGAAAATAGACAAACAAATTCTCACGCTCTCTTGGATATTCCTGTCAAACTAAAATATGACAGCTAAATAAAATACCAATTAGTCAGTGGGTTTTTGAAGTTTAAATCATATCAACAATGTTCATAAATACTTTTGTTTATTAATGTTTAAATGATAAATCATTATGTGATATCCTCGCCTGTAAGACACTCCTAACCAGTTGTTACGACTGTCCCTACCCTCGCCAATAAATCATTCCTACGCAAATGTTAATGCTGAAAACAACTGAAAACTTTGAGTACTTACTATTCAGTACCAGTTACTTGTAAGTGCAGTTACAACAAGTTCCAGTTTTCGACTTTGATGTTTCTGTGAAAATTTTAAATAGCTTAAAGACTAGATATTCTCTTCGAAAAAAGTTTCGGATCTACAGCTCTTTTTATTAAGACTTCAGAATCGATGTAAAAGTTACCAGTCTTTAGTCGCCCACAAACAGTTCCCCTATGCTAATAACTATTCTATTCATTTCAAAATCTTAAAAATGTTTAAGTACCTTTTTCTCGGAATCTCTAAGTTTTTTACTTTTTTTGCCCATTTCTCTGTCAAACTTCTCTGTCAGCTCTTTGAGTCTTACTTCCCATTCTTTTTTTATTTCCTCTGAAATCTTATTATTTTCCTCCGAACGTTTTTTCATCATTTCATCTATCACAGCATCTTCCTCCTTTCTCAGTTCTTCTTCTAATTTCTTCTGTGCATCTATGAGGCGTTGTCGCTTCTTGTACTAGAAGATCAAATGAAATAAACCAATATTTAATTAAATTCGAATAGTGTCCTAAGTCATATTACTATCAACTGTACGTTCTACAAATTGTAATCTTTTTGGACTAGAATTATTTTCTGTGTATGCCCTGGTAAACACCCATCTATTCTTTTTAACCCTAGCAACTACGTATTATTTTTCTTTTTTTTCCCCTTATTTATATATTTGATCTGTATTGGATATTTTTCTTTAGTTCGTGCTCTTATTTATTTTTGTGAGAGAAAAAAAGATGAGAAAATTATTTAAACAAAGACCAACACCAGTACATTTAGGTGCATATTCATCCTATGTCTTTTTCTATAGTATTCTTTTTTTTTGCATTATTAGTTTGAAAATGAATCAATGATTCATTGATTGACTCATTCATTTTCCGATTGCATTCCGTGTTACAATAAATCTTAACAGAAATTCCGCTGCCGATAACAGAGCGAAGCTCGACATGGTGTTCTTTTGGTTACTGTAAACATTCCTCAAAACGAATTTGTCTTGTATTATTGTTTTTTTTCCTCAGAGATTGTAATTTCCTTGCCTTCAAATAAGTATCACAGATCTGAAAGGAGGTTTTTCTCAACTGATTTTGTCTATGCACTTTTAATTAATCTTCTGTACAAGTTTATGTGCTTGTTCCAGTGTATATCTCTGTAGTCATAACTTATTTATTATTTCGGGAATAAGGTGTTGACGGCAGTTCAATCAATTATGGTCTATGTGAAATTTTTCCATATCTTGACATTGAACAGACAGTTCTCTGTTTTTGAAGACCCCATATTTAGACCTCTAGATAAAACAGTTGATGGATTTTTATTATTAGAGCATGCATGCATAAACCGTTTCATCGGTTTACAAATAACATGCACCGATTTGCATATAGCATTTATACATCTGCATTATTTTATTCATAATTTGTCTTCATTAAGTCTGGGTGATTTAGAGCTTGACATATCGTTATAAACTCTTGTCCAAACTCTCTTGGTTTTATTGTATTGTTGGGCTGATGTCTTCATTAAGTCTGGGTGATTTAGAGCTTGACATATCGTTATAAACTCTTGTCCAAACTCTCTCGGTTTTATTGTATTGTTGGGCTGATGTCTCATTAAGTCTGGGTGATTTAGAGCTGGACATATCGTTATAAACTCTTGTCCAAACTCTCTTGGTTTTTATGGTATTGTTGGGCTGATGTCTCATTAAGTCTGGGTGATTTAGAGCTGGACCTATCGTTATAAACTCTTGTCCAAACTCTCTTGGTTTTTATGGTATTGTTGGGCTGATGTCTCATTAAGTCTGGGTGATTTAGAGCTTGGCATATCGTTATAAACTCTTATCCAAACTCTCTTGGTTTTTATAGTATTGTTGGGCTGATGTCTCATTAACGTATAACCTACTTCACTTTTTAATACAAAAACAGTCGTCGTGGTATGATTGCCAGAGATCATAGGAAGAGGATGTAAAACACTATAGGTCATCGTTCCAGCCTATCAATATGATCTAGGTCATCGTTCCAGCCTATCAATATGATCTAGGTCATCGTTCCAGCCTATCAATATGATCTAGGTCATCGTTCCAGCCTATCAATATGATCGAATTCCTTAGTGTATATAGTAGCTATATTGATTTGGAAGGTCTGGTATGACAGAATGTGAAACAGTTCAAAAGAGGTTATAAGTAATAAAGGAAAAACAAATTTGGCAAAGAGCGACAAACGGCAACCACTGAATTACAGGCTCCTGGCTTTGGACGGACACATAAAGAACGTGGCTGGGTTTAGTTTCATTCATATTGTCGGTAAGCTTCAATTTGTGTAAAAAAAGCAAATCTGGTGGGGTAAAAAGTTTCAGAAACGCATAAAACTCACGAAAAGAGCGCGAGTTCGTTAATCACAACCACAAGAGTTCAAAAACTGTGTTTTTTTTCCAAAAAGTACACGTTATCTTCTGTTATACAGCAACTACATGATAAATCTTAATATGCAGCACAGTGTACAAATATCAACCCATTAAATTTGATGGCCTTTAAAACTTGTCTATCAAAAGGACGAAATACGGTTCTGAAAATGAAGTACAACTTAAATTCATGATCGTCTATCATTTATCAATTACTTATTCAATGTCCATTAGCATGCAGAAAAAAGAAGAATATTAGTGATTGATGAGTTTTGTCTTCTGACATCATAAGAATAGTCTACACCTACTCACACAAGAATAATCGGGAGTATAAGTATATATAAATAATTTCAATATCTCACGTAAATGGTCTTTTATGTTGAGCTATTTGTTCATTTGATCTGTCTAGGTTGAACCGCCCACCCGTGCATGACAAGTATTTAAATTCATAAAGACGTAAAATAAATCTCAGTTAACATCTTTTACAGATTTCAAATCTTGACATAGTTATGTGAAAATTTCATTTCGAAACCGCCCACTACACATAGTTTTTATATTGTTATTATGAATAAGCATATTACTAATTAAATCAAAACAATTATTTGACTCATTACCACACCTTAATATCAGCTATAACTACGACAGATATCGGATATAACTACGACAGATTCAATAAGATCTGTGTTCTTATTCAAAACAATTGTTTTTGTCATCGTGTACATCAGCTTTCCTCTCCCAACTAGTTCTTAAAACGGCTATCAGACGTCCGAGTAATCTTAGACTAAATACATTTTGCTTTATTATAACTAATTAAGTTAAACCATAAATCCACTGTGGACCTTTTAAAACTCAATGAAATGCGCATGAAGTATTGAAGCTCTGGTATCGTCGTTCATAAGGAGGTAAGAACAATCCCCTGGCAATTATACCACATCTTCTTATGTTAATACTGGTGTTGCAATAATTACCAGGGGCGGATCCAGCCATTTTAAAAGGGGGGTTCTCAACCCAGGATAAATGGCGGGGGGTTCCAACTATATGTCCCCATTCAAATGCATTGATCGTCCAAAAAAAGGGGGGTTCCAACCCCCGGAACCTCCCCTCTGGATCCGCCACTGATTACAGGGACATTGGTCTTACTCTTTGTTATTTGGTTACAGTCGTCACAGTTTGTTTTAACTTTTCTATTCGTACTTCAGTTCTAAAATTCTCTACTCAATAAAACTGTGTCGTGGTGTTAAGAAATGTAAGAACGGTTTTCAACGTAGATTTCTAACATGAAATTGAAGAGAGCTATGTGTTTGTTATGATTAAGGACCAAACATAAAAATTTTGTCACTTGACAGTTTAATTTTCTCAAATGCAGTGATGCAATTCAATCTATCAAGTAATTAAACTTCATAAATTAACGTTATGCGCACTGAATAAAACGGATATATGAACAATTTCAAGATATATTTTTGTTTTTGCAAGTTTCAACTAGATAAGGTATCTTTTTTTTTTGTTAAAAAATCATGCTCATAGACTACTTCTGTGCATGTACATGAGAGATCAGAGTCTAGATACATGAGATCTAATATCACACAGCTAGTTTGTAAAGAAGAAATGTAGCTGATTCAGTACACTTAGATTTTTATTCAACCACAAGTGTCTTTCAATATAAGACATTATATAAGGTTTGTTGACTCCTGGCAAACATGGCATAAATGGGTCTCGCTAATAATTTTTGGGGAAAATTAAATAATTACTCCCACGTCTACAAAATGTATGTGTTAATAGTTCGCCCCTATAGTATTAACGAGGACTGGTGAATACATTTAATGTAGTGTTAGAACAACGAACTGTGTACCCATGAAAAGATCAGATAATATTGTATCATCCTTTTCATGTCTATTCATTGTCTAATGGGTAAGAAAAAAGACAAATCCCTTATGAAAGAAAACAAATCGAATAAGTATCATAATCTTTATCTTTATACTAAGTTTTATCACTTTGAATGATACGACACTATCAGAACGATGACAATAAAAGACCGTTTTTAAAATTTATTGTCCGTCTTATATTGTCGTTTCTTTGATAGTGGTAAAACTTAACGCGTAGGAAATAATAACTGACACAAGACCGCATTGGTGTTGGAAGATTATGTACGACTTACTGGTATACAAAACAATACCATAAAAAGTTTCAAAAAGTTTACTCCCAATAGCAAACATTTAATGACACATTAACAAATGGCCCAATAATTCATTTTAAAATGATGTGGTGGCAAAGAAAACGATATCAAGATAGATTTACTAATATACTGTTGATTGATTATCGCTCAGTGTATTCAGGACGAGAAGGAGTTGAGACTCTGAAATGTGAACGGTCGATAGAAGGAATGACCATGGCGTATTTGTTGGGTCAAAAACACAGCCCTACAATAGATCACCAACGGAACAGTCCGATGAGCTATAAAAAGCCATGACTTCTGAAATCCTAACACATGCCTTGGGGTTATCTATAAATAAGAAGATGTGGTATGAGTGCCAATGAGACAATTCTCCATCCAAGTCACAATGTGTAAAAAGTTAACAAAACTACCTGGAACAGATTGGAGATGTGTAACCGGGAAACTGGCTACTGGACTGAAGAAGATATCGAGATGCAACACGACTGGTTGCAGAAATTGGCGGTACCAACTATAGACAATGACTTAGACCCCGTCACGTGCATGCCTGATGCCTGAGAACGCTCGCTTTAATTCCACTGGTAGAATTAGACATAAGTCATATGCAGTAGTTAACAATTTAATGATTTCAGGGTGGAATACATGTAATTTTAAAAAATATGGCGAACTAGAGTGTTATTAGTTCGACTGCCTCGCTCTCACTGAAGTAAAACTTTCAGAAAACATACTTAGATTAAGAATTTTGCTAGGTTACAATTTCATAATAGAAACGAGGTTATCGAATGTCACTTATAAACATACAATTAGCACTTAAAGGATTATCAAAAGAAGATAATGGATGACGGAGTACAGACATGTTTGTACTAAGCAATTCTTACATAATGAATAGCAATAATTTACAATGAGAATACTTATAATTATAATATATATATGTAATAAAACGGATTCTCATCCAATTTGAAAGTGAATACAATTAAATTGACGAACAAATATTGCAAATCAAATGATTTCGATAAAAACAATAATTAGTTTAACATTAGAGTATTATATAAATAACAATTTATGACCGACCAGTTTATCATTGAAAATCCAAAAATGTCCGAAATAAGAACAAAACTCCTTTTTAATAGTTCAAAACACAATCAGAGATGATTGCATATCTATACATGTCAAACATCTTGCACAGACAAACGGATTTCGCATAATACTAGATAGCCAGGAAAAGATAAAAAGGGATTAGGGCTACAAAAATGTGTTCTCCGTACGGATACAGGAAAAGATAAAAAGGGATTAGGGCTACAAAAATGTGTTCTCCGTACGGATACAGGAAAAGATAAAAAGGGATTAGGGCTACAAAAATGTGTTCTCCGTACAGATACAGGAAAAGATAAAAAGGGATTAGGGCTACAAAAATTTGTTCTCCGTACGGATACAGGAAAAGATAAAAGGGAGTAGGGATACAAAAATGTGTTCTCCGTACAGATACAGGAAAAGATAAAAAGGGATTAGGGCTACAAAAATGTGTTCTCCGTACGGATACAGGAAAAGATAAAAGGGATTAGGGCTACAAAAATGTGTTCTCCGTACGGATACAGGAAAAGATAAAAAGGGATTAGGGCTACAAAAATGTGTTCTCCGTACAGATACAGGAAAAGATAAAAGGGAGTAGGGATACAAAAATGTGTTCTCCGTACGGATACAGGAAAAGATAAAAAGGATACCAAATGATCTAGGTAAAAATAAAAAGGCAGTAGGACTACTAAAAATGTTCTTCGTACGGTACTTTGTGGTACAAGTACTAAAGTGTACAGAAAGTAAAAGTAAAACCTAACACATACATATCTAGGCATCGATGCATTCAGAAAGTTAAGTCTACATTTAACTAAGTAAACGCACAATCCACCTCAATTGACATTTCAAGATAAATTGTTTATCCCCGAGCCATTACTTTAATGAACTTGTATTGCTGATATTTTACTTTATACAGTTTTGTACCTGAGACTGGGGTAAACGACATTAGGATATTATTGCACAGTTTAAAGAATGACTTCACTGAAATTCACATTAAAATTTTAGGTCTTTCATTTCTTTACGTCTGTAAATGACATTTGTTTATATGGCACTATCTTGCGGCTTGTCAATAACATCATATTGATCTCAGATCAATTTAGGTCATGTAATGGATTTTTTATGTTTATTTAAAGACTTTCTTATGCGGTTATTTTCAATTTGTACATTAAATATCATTTTGTTTTACAAATGAAAATCGACCTCTCATAGTTTTCCATTAAAGGCAATATAATGCATATTTCAGCCCTTTTCTTCTTTCTGAATTGAAAAATACCTGTAAATCGGTCAAAAGGTGAAGTTATAATGATACATGTACTTATGTGACCATATATTTCGTACAACCATAGAAGTATGATTTTAATATTTTAGTAAGAGAATGATATAACTAAACGGCTAACAGGTGTTTTGACATGTAAGGCTTCTTGGAAACAAACAGACAATAACGGCGACAATAAAAATGGTATATCTTTCAAATTTGTCAAATTGCACATATATATATTACAGAACTCGGATGGCTTTAGTGCAATGCGCATACTTTTGTTCACATAAAGTAATGCGTGATGGGTTTTTTCTTTGTTTAATTAGTCGTAAAATTTCACTTAAAAGTATGATATTTAAAAGAAGAAATTCATTTTGACACGCCACTAGAGCTAGTGGTAATTGACTATACTCTGACTGGTATGACATCAGTTACGAAGAACGTATAGCGGGCAATGCAGGACCAGAAACACTGTAATCAGTATAAATCTGCTTAAATTTGTACTTGACCGACATTAGTCAGATTTTTAATATGTTGTCTCGCAAGATAACAGTCCGTTTGAGGACATATCAACCCAAATAGCATGGTTACAGTACGTAGGAGCAGTCAGGATGGCAAACTGACACTTCAAGCACCATTCAAGACACCAACGAGAAGATTAAACCAGACAGGATGGCAAACTAAGAATTCAAGACACCACCGAGAAGAATAAACCGGACAGGATGGCAAACTGAGACCCCCAAGACACCACCGTGGAGATAAAACCAGGCAGGATGGCAAACCGAGACTTTAAGACAACACAAAGGAGATTAAACCAGACAGTACAACAAACCGAGACTTCAAACTGAAGCCTCAATTTCACAATGAAAATAATAAAAAATATACCTGAACATATGTTCAAAAGGCGTTACATTTTCATTTTTCAAGGATAATCTTACAGTCATTCAATTAAACGGGTATCATGTGGCCTCTTTCACTTATTCAATAGAGAATATTTATGTGAGATTTAATATTTTATACCAACATACGTCAGCTGATAAAAGGTTGAAAAACAAGTAATGAGAGAAAGACTTAAATGGAATGATATAATGCAAGGTCATTTCATACAATCATGTACTTATAATCGACCATGCATGGTCAAGAGTAAAGAACTTAGATTTTAAAATTATATTATACAAAGTCGTGTCATACTATATTATTTGTGGCGGATCATATGTTTACAAAAATTGCAACTATATTATATAAAAACTTAAAACGTGCTACAAAGTCATTAGGGTTAAAAATATATGATACCAATCACGTGTTTAATAGAAAAAATAATGTCCCATCTGTAGTCTTATCTTATTAAACCAAAAATCAGAACTAAACCCTAATGGTGGATCTCTTTACCATAATATAATCATCGAAAATAAAGTTGGTCCTTCTGATTTTCCAAAAGATATGTTCTCAAAGACAATGATGTAACGTTCCAACTGAAGCTAAGTTTGAAAAGATATACACAATCAGTTTTCCCAAAGAATGGAATTTCTTATAAAGGTACTATATAAACCTACAAAAAGACAAAAATATTTTTATGCTAACAAACTTGAAGATGTCCCCCCCCCCCCTCCCCCAACACACCTATCCAGTAAAATCTCTTATAGAAAATTACAACGACTTAGTTACGTACAAAAACTAAATCAGGAATACGTTTTGATGTTGAAAATTCAACAATTTACCCATTACTGATTCCTGTGTGTTTATTACAACTCCATTTCTATCGTTTAACTCATTCTGTATAATAAGTAAATATTAGACAACTCTACCAGTTACTGTCAAGAATTGAAATGCAGTGTAGTGTGTAACACTTATGGTATCCACCGATGCAGTCAGTAGTTATGATATATTAACTTTCTCATTCTAGTTAGAGGTTTCATATGTTCGATGCAGAACGATTCATATCATATCTAATGGATGAATACACTTTACTGCCAATTATAATAACATACTAACAATAGAAATATCATATGCAAGGAAGAATCATTAAAATACATACCCGGAAAATATTACTAATAAACGTAACGTCGGTTAATATTTGTTGAACAATACAGGTCCGTTGAGGAAAAGTTGATACACCATTTTAAAAAATTGAGAATTATAAAAAGTTTGCTCGCTTTACTGGTAGACAATAATAGTTATTTGTAAGTGCAATTTTCTTTTTGGTTGCAATGTTTCTTTTTCTTTTATCTTATCCTACAGATTTAGACGGTACCAGAAACACTGTTTACCCTTCCAGAGAACGTGAAATCATGCCAGTTATTAGTAATACTCGTGTTCAAGTCTCAAGTTTCCTATAGCTGTGAACTGTTTGGTTTATTCTGTCTGTCTTTTTTTCTTATTTTGTCGTGTGTTTTACCTCCTGGTATCGTCTTTATATTCATACTAGTTGTTTTTACTATACGAGTAAAGTAACTGATAGTATTGTGGTAGTCAGCAGTCAGTTATAGTGCTACTTGATATTTTTTTACATGTTTTTTTTATACTTGATGGAGTATATCATGAAGTATTCAGTTACTCTTGGCCAATATTAAGTTTTTCATGGAGAATTTGGTTGCTTTTGACAATATTAAGAAATTTGGATAGAAGTGCTGTTTTTCATGGGGGTTCGGTTGCTTTTGACAAATATTAAGACATTTGGATAGAAGTGGTGTTTTTCATGGGGGATTCGGATGCCCTTGACCAATATTAAGACTTTGGATGGAAGTGATATTTTTCACGAAGGATTCGGGATTAAGACATTTGTCATAAAATTGTTGGTAGACCATTGATTTAATAGCTTCATTACCAAGAACTATCCGTCTTTTTCTCTTCCTTTACGTACATCACTCCAATCTTAAAACATACTGATGATAACGTACTGGGCATTGATTTGGTTAAAACTATATACACAAGTGTGGTTTTTAAGTGTGGAGATGTTGGTGTAAATGTTTTCTATACTTACTATATTTTGAGGGAAGTGATGTTTTTCATGTGGTAATTGGTTGCCTCTGTATACTTACTATATTTGGAGGGAAGTGATGTTTTTCATGTGGTAATTGGTTGCCTCTGTATACTTACTATATTTGGAGGGAAGTGATGTTTGTCATGTGGTAATTGGTTGCCTCTGGTCAACAGCTGAGCATCTATCGCACCTTTGATATGCAATGCGTTGGCATCAATATTTGCGATTGGGTCTATCACTTTAGAATTTCTTGTACTGGGTGCCGACACTGCTGTTCTAATGGCCATTGCTTGGTAATCAAAGCTTGGATTTCTTATTGTTCCGGCTTTTCTTATCTGTGGATTAAGTTTTCTTGAATGTTTTTTGTAGTTAGTCTGAACGTCAACTGCCTGTTTAATTCCCAGGGCATTCTTATCGTACTTCGCTGCACCAACACGAGGAACATGTGCATGGCAGTAAATCTCACGGTCATTGGCTTCAAGCTGGTTGGAAAAATAATTTTTGATGTTTAGATGGGTGCCACAATCCACACATTTGAAACATGCCTTATGAAATAAAACGTCGTGAACGGGGCCCATTTTCTCTGCTTGAAAAACTGACCCCTTGCACCTGTGGCATGATTTGGGGTTAAGAATTGGTGCCTGAAATATCGACGAAAGTCTGCGATATCCTCTTTCCTCTGAAGCGGTTGTCATTTTCAATTAGTTTATAGCACCAGAACACTAGATGGCAACGGTGTAAACGTAAGTGTAATCCAATATGTTCTACTCCCTACCTGTATGAGAATCAAAAACATTCAAACAACAATATTTATCTTAATTCCACCACATGTTAATCCATTTATCAATTAGTCAAATTGAAAATTTGACAATATATCTATCAGACACCCGTACACGGGATCCATGACTAGTAACAATGAATATACCTGTACAGGTATGACAGGTAAATAATTGAAGCGTGACGCTACCACGGTCGATAAACAACAAAGGTAAACAAAAAAAATCCTACAGCATTTACAAAACTGTTTACTTTCGATTATACTGTATGAATATTATAATTGTTCAGAATTAAAATTTTAAATAAAGAAATTGTGTAAAATTTTGTTCAACAGTTATTACCAGTTTCACAGTTGTAAACGGTTTGGAAAAAAAACAAGATTAAGTAATAGCTTTCACACCTGTCGTACTAGAGGAAAATGTATGAATAAAATACTTTTGCAATTTCACATCATAATATGAAATTTAACAGCAAGATATCGTGGTGACTGAGCTATCTACATACAGACGTACACCTAGAGCATGAGACATTCCGTTGAAGATTTCGTCTCTTAAGTACCTTGTTATAATCATTATCGACTATTTACAAGACTAGTTGTTTTATACCCAGATTAAGCTACTTACAATACCGACTTCGTTCTACGAGGGGTCAGAACTTAGACTTAGCGTTCATTGACAAAGAAAATCATAATTCGTAAACAGCGATGTCAGTACGTCAATTAGAAAAAAAAACGGTTTATGTGCAATAACTCTCTCAGAATGACTAATAACTGTCTCAAAAGTTACGCTTAACACTATAAAATAGTTTAGTTGATTAATTGTCTTAGAATTGAGACAAACGCTATTTTCGATAACTAAAAATTATGACGTGGTTTAAACTTTTATTCACCTCTCACTAAGTGCTAATCGAGAAATTATTGATTACAGTTTCATCCCATTAGCGGAACAGGAATCCTCAGTTTCACAATTCACAATTGTCAGGACTTCGACTAGGAATACTAAATATCATGTATTCTTGTTTTGCTTTATACTATTATTATTATTTTTGGAGACGTTTCCATAAAAAGGCTGCACTAAACATACGATAACAGAAAACAGACAGAAGATGCCAGGGGACGATCAACAATTGTATGTCAAAGAGACGACGCTATGACAAAAAGTATAAACATTAGTTAACCAGAAAACAACACCCTTCAAAAACATCATAGAAAACAACAGGATACAAACACTTCACAGAAAACAACAGCCTACACAACCACTACAGGGACAACAGTATACAAATCATCAGTACTACACAGGAAACCACAACCTATAACCAATACACAAAAAAAAAAAAACAGCATACAAACACTACACAGAAATCTACAGCATACAAACACTACATAAAAAATCCGGTCTACATACACCACACAAAAACAACAGCCTACAAACACCACACACAAAACATCAGCCTACAAACACTACACAAAAACACCAGCCTATAAGCACTACACAGAAAGCAACAGTCTACAAACACTATACACGGAAAACAACAGTCTACAAACACTATACACGGGAAACAACAGTCTACAAACACTGTATACAAAAAAACTTAAATTGGGCAACACGAACCCTACAAAAAATAAAATTTTTCACAATTGCTTTATTTTACACTTATATTCATGTACTAGTATTGTGCTTTGGTACAGTTATACAGATGTTCTACTTAAACCATAATAATATTAATTCATATTTCTTTGCCACCTAAATTACCTCCCTGATGCAGTAAAATCGTCAGTCCGACTATTTTCAGATGACTGCTTATTTAACAAGGAAATAACAGCCAAACAGACCACATCATATAACAAGACCTTGTAAACCTGGCATTGTTGGTCAATAACTGGAGTATGAAATTAAACGCCAAAAAATGAGAACAAAACATAAAGTAAATTTTACCAACTAATTGGACATATACTAGAAGAGGTAAACACCAACCCATACCTTGAAATCGAAATATCAGATTACCTAAAATGGAGAACACATTTAGCAAACACCAGCAAAAAAGCAAGTTAAACTCAAGACGCAATCTACAACAATGACCGAAAGAATGCCAAAAAAAAAAACCCGCAAACATGTATATCTCTAGTAAGGTCAAGAATGGAATATGGAGCTAAGACATGGGACCATACAAAAAAAAAAGAGAATGATCAACTATAAAGGATACAAATAAGGCTGTACGTTACATCAATATAGGTTATAAATCGAGAGGTGACGGACGCATCACAAAAAACTAAAACCATCACCATTAGAAGACAAACGAAAACAAGAATTAAAGGCTAATATTTTTTCTACTGAGTGAAGGAGGGTCAGGTACCAGCGATGCCGCCTTCTGACCACATTATTCGAACACAAGGAAGACCTCTAGTTAAACCAAAACATTTCCAGACTGTGTTACATCAAACATTGTGAAAATACAATCCCGTTTAAGCACTAAAACCTTCAAAAACCAACATTCATCAACCGACCAATTCAAGCACTAATTCTTTATCAGAACTGCTGTCGACTGGAACAACCTTAAAGACAGCATAGTGACAGCAAAGTCAACCGAAGGCTTTAAAGCGGCACTGTATAGTCGCAATCGGGTCTAACTGTGTTTTCCGTCCCCGTTGAAATAAAGCCCATAGGGACTCTACAACAGACCCAAACAGATGTTTGATATTTTCAGATAAACTGTTGACACAGAGATAAGTCTCGCCTGTCGGTATACAATTCAGAAAAAGACAATCTGGTGGACAGCAACATGATTTATTAATTCAGTCGCTGAACCATTATGTAGTAGGCAGGGCCAGAAAATAATCGTCAAACTGATATGTACTGATTATAATGCAACTTTCTTTATACAAAATATCATTGATCTATCACAAGTAAATCCTATCAAACTAACTTAATGTTTTGGCATTGCACAAGGTCATGTTTTTCTCTGACTGTTTATGACGTCTTTACACTAAATCCATTGGATGTTGGATGTGTACGGATTGATAATTTAGTCTTAGATGCATGATTTTTTTTATTAGTTGTTAGTGGCTTTGAACTAGCTGTCAGTAACTGCGAGTACTCTCAGATCTGTACTTAGTGTCTTTTTGTTGTTTGGATGTACAAGTACCCGGCCACGTCCACTTGTATTTGTATTATTTGTATTTTTATCCATCTGATGAGTTAAGCCTCTTTCAACTGATTTTTATAGTTCGTTCTTATGTTGTACTGTTACACCTGACTCCCAGGTTAGGGGGGGGGGGGGGGGGGGGGTGGGGGTTAGGATCCCGCTAACATGTTTAACCCCGCCACATTCTGTATGTATGTGCCTGTAATTCAGTGGTTGTCGTTTGTTTATGTGTTACATATTTGTTTTTCGTTCATTTTTTGTACATAAATTAGGCCGTTAGTTTTCTCGTTTGAATTGTTTTACATTGTCATTTCGGGGCCTTTTATAGATGACTGTGCGGTATGGGCCTTGCTCATTGTTAAAGGCCGTACGGTGACCTATAGTTGTTAATTTCTGTGTCATTTGGTCTCTTGTGGAGATGTTGTCTCATTGGCAATCATACCACATCTTCTTTTTTATAATTAAGCAGAAAACTTAACATTGAGAATTTCTAATTAATTCAAAGTCACTGGACCATGACCTAGGGAGCAGGGCCTCGAAATAGTCATCAGACTGATATGTACTGATAGTAATGCAACTTTATGTTAAATATCAATGATCTATCACAAGTAGTTCCTATCAAACTAACTTAAGCAGAAAACTTAATAATTGTTTCCGTCGCCGTCGACAGGAAAAGCAATCCCTATGTCACGCTTTCCGCAACTTTCGTCATAGGCGAGACAAAAACTAATGTCTGACTTAAGCAAATCATTTTATATCCGAAAGAATCTGGAGAGGCAACATTTTATAGACTATCGGTCCCAAAGTTATAGCTTCCCTACCGTATATGGAAAGATAAATCAACGTAATATTTCATATATATTTCCAATCTAAATCTCAACCAAAATTAACAAATTTCCGCTATTTATTTGAATATTGTAATTTGCCATTCATTATTTCAGTTATAAAACTGTTACCACACCACAAATAAAAATGTTCTAAGAGAGGTCTGAGTTTAAACAAACTAACATCGTTCGTTGAAATTATATACAAGAAAGAAACAACAAATTACACTACAGCAAAAAAAAAAAAAAAAAAAAAAAAAAAACGAATGAAAATTAAAGGTTAATACGATAAATAATTATTCAAAAAAGGAAACATATTTTATGATTTTCTACAACATTTTTAGTCCTTTAATGTAATGTCTATGCATTCGAGTCAATCACGTACGACGGCATGTTTTTCTCTGTGAGTTTGTTTGGTATAATGTACTCGTTTCCTGGCTCCCTGCTTGACAAAAGGTGGTGCAAAGCAAAGATTGAATCAGGATACCAGGCTATACGTATACTTCAAGCGATAAAGCTAGGCAAAATGCATAACATTAAAATTTATCAAAATTGATAAAATGTGTGTGATTAACAACGCGATATCATGAGAGACTTTGATCAGCGACATTTTATTTGATGTTGTCAACTTCCTGCGGGTCTGTATATACAAGGCAATACACATCATTTAACACTTTGACAATTTAATCACTTAAGGTAATTGTTTCAGTAGTTATGTACACGAAAAGAGACCAAAAAAAAAATACATTCCTGTGAAAACCAAAAAAAAAACAAAAAACCAAAAAACAACAAAAAAACTGAAAATCGTCGCAAGAATTTAGGCCGAATTGCTCAATGGTTTAAAATTCAACCTGTGTTTAAGTAAAAAGAGGCGAACATGCGAAGTCCGCAACATTGATTTAATTAAATTTACTTTCCAGTTTTGTTTTTTCAGATTTTAACCAGAACCAGTTCTAGTTTAAAGAGCTGTTTGCATCTATATTAAATAAGTTTTGCAACAAATATTTTTTATTTGATATTTTATATTTCAATAATATCATCATCATCATCATACTTTATTTCCTCCTATAGGAGATTGACAACATGCATATACAAATCATGTACAATTATAAAGTTTTGAAATTATATAATAGAATGTCACTTAATATTTTGGATGGAAAAGTATTTACAGTCTACAGTATTTTAGAAAGGAAAATCCTTCGATTTTAGCCATATAACAATAAATGAATTATTATCACAGAGCATATAAACCATAAGGTGCAATTTTTACACGACAAAAAAAATCAGAGATTTAAAAGTTTGGAAATTTCTATTTGAAAGTTTTATTTTAAATTAAAATAATTTATATACTTCTTATACTCAGTATATAAATGCTTATATTTATTTCAGGACAATTCAAAAATGAAAATGATGTATGTATGATCTTTCAATACCTGAATAATTATAATTACAATTAGCAATATTAACCAGTAATGGAATAGTCAGTGAACTTTGTTGAAACTGAGACTTATGCACAACAGAAACTAGATTCCACGATGAAGTTTACTTTTCTTCACACAATAGACAAGGCCTATGCAGGAATAGCCATTGTCATGTCAACATTATCCATCTTGTCTTGTGTCATTATTATTGCTGTCCTTACATCTTGTAAATCACTGCGTACTAATGGACGAACTTTGTTAATTTGTCTGACAGTGGCTAACTTTGTGTCATGTGTTGGCAGTATTGTGGCCGCGGGGGTATCGGTGTTCACACCAGAACTAACATGGAGTAATTTCCCCGTCTGTGCTGCTGCTAGCGCAATCTCTATAGTGTCTAATGTTTGTGCCTATCTGTGGACATGTGCTATAAGTCTATATGTTTACCTGTGCATCAGCTGGAAGAAAGAAACTCTTGCCGATAAACTAAGAGGGGTTTTCCATCTAGTTTGCTGGGGCTTCCCAGGTAATTATCACGTCTTATAATTGATTAGGTTTTCTCTTCAATTAAAATACTTGTGTTTACAGATTAAATGCTGTAATATTCACCACAGTTTTTCCTCTATGTTTAAATTCAGTGCATCAGAGTAAGACATGAGTATACAAACAAAGTTTAAAATATCAAAACTGTTCAAACGATTTTGGATTCAGGTATGACTATGATTTGAAATAAAAATGAGATTTCAATTAATATAGTGCGCTACACAAGAATGAAATGTATAAATATAAATACGATTGTATTTCATTTTTAAAGTCGCTGTAATGGTAATAGCCACTGCCTCAGACGTGATAGGGTTTAACTTTGGTAAGGCAAAGGTTGAGCGTCGACCACCATGGTGTTGGATAGACCGTGAGACAGAGAAATTTGAGATGTGGGAACTGGTTACAGGATTGGGATGGAGGATAGCTACCATTGTTATATGCACTGCACTTTACAGTTTTGTACAGTTCTCGCTTTCAGTCCAGGTGAGCATAGCCGTAGAACGAATAAATAATTAAATAGATAATTGATATAACTTTTTAAATATTTTAAAACGAAAATCCCATATCCACTGGTTTTCCGTTGTCAATGAGATAGATTGGTTTTCGATCAGATTGACTTGTAATTTTTCTAATCTGATTAATTACTTCACAATAAATACACAAATTAAAAAATGAATTGGTTTGACATGGCCATCATCGGACTGAAAAATGGGTTCTCATAACTCGCTTCGAACGAACCCTAAACGTCTCTATAAAGGAGTAGGGAATTTACGCCATTATTTAGCCAAAGATTTTTTTCAGAACTATGTCAAATTTGCATTTTATAGTTTAAGTTTATAACTATTTTTTAAAGAGTAAAAAACTTATGAACTCTTCCCCTTCATATAATATAACAATTACAATAATTATACAGGAAAATGCACAAAAACCAGAACTGTATAGAATGAATAAGACAAGATTTATAATGTAATGACGCCCTAATGATAATGTAGAAATATGTTAAATGTAGTTGTCTGTCCATATTCTCTTTGTGAAACTATCGTGTACAGCCATAAAACTATAAGATATTTTTAGAGATGCTTTCTTAAAGCTTTTTATATAATCTCACTAACTATAAAGTTGTTTCCTAGTTGTGTAAATAGTTTTTCAATCAAAAATATACTCAAGAGTTGATACAAAACATAGGAAATGGTCATGTTAGTGCACATTTAAGATAATGTATGGTAACTTTAAGATTTGCGTTAAATTTTGGGCCAAAAACTGACCCTTATTCTTTACATCTGGTGTCACGTACTTTGGTATATATTTTAATGATCAATTTCAATTCAAGATTTGACAAGCTTTTACATTGTACAGGAGAGCTTGATTCTAAATACTAAATCAGCTTGTCGGAGGACACGATCCCCTGTTTTTGAACTTGACCCCGAGTACATATACGTTGTATGAGTGTGCTCATGCTTTATCAAATACCTTAAAATTCAAAAACTACAAATGTTATTTCCATTAAGCAGGGAAAACCAGATGAAGAACAAATGAATGAGTTTGAGGAAGTCTTGACACTCAGAACACAGAAAGCAAACCGTAAATTAAGACATATTCCGTTGATTTTTGTTGTACTTAATGCATGGGGTGCCTGGCAAGAAATGGCGTCTGCTCTATCAACGACGGCTAGTTGGCTTGTATTAATGCAGGTAATATGATCGTAGATTTAACAAGTGTTCTATTAATTCTTTCCTGGCGTGGCTTGGTTTGGTTGGCTGGTGAATTATAGAAGAAAGCTTGATAGTTTCAATATGTTAAAAAGAACACGTTTGTCTGGGGAGTCACAGAACAGTTGTAATGGCAGAAAGAGATATCCTGTATAGGTTTTTTGCGACAACTTGTTTATATATATCAGGAAAATAGTTTAATGTTCCTTATCACCAGCTTGGTTTGCAATAATAAGCAAATATTTGCATAAAGTGAAAATTTTACATTGTGATAAAAGATACCACCTGAAAATGTCTGTATTGAGACAGACATTTTATTGTAGTGGTCTTTTTTCTAGTTTAAAAGCTTACTTGTCTTGATGTTAATTAATTTAATGTACAAGATTAAGTTAAGTCTTCTTTGTTAACCCCTAATAGGGGGGCTTTATTATGTTACCTAATCCTCAATAGAGGGATTCTATAATATTACCCAACATCTTCAGGGTTTTAAAAATATGATTTTGTATACAAAATTGACGTGAAGTAATGATATAGCTGACATGTAATGACAAGTTTAACATAATTAAATTTAAAAAAACCGCACCATGGTCCAACCACCAACATCTTTTTCCTACGAAAAACAACAACGAACAAAATATGATCAAGATAGCCTGATTAAATACAGACACAAAATCTAAAGGTTCATTATGATGGTGCAGACACTCAAAATCTACCTTCGTCATTATTGATGTGTAATTTATGTATAAATGTTTTTAAGTTACTGGTGACTATTCTCAGGCATTCGTCAATGCAATTTATGTAATGTTTTACAGGTTATAGGAGACCATTCCCTAGCTTTCGTCTATGTAATTTATGTATAAATGTTTTAAGGTTATAGGAGACCATTCCCTGGCTTTCGTCTTTGTAATTTATGCACCCATTCCAAACTAAAAGACAAATTGAAAGAGTTTGTCCTGCTTTGTTTCATAAAAAAGAATGGCCAACGTAGATACAAGTATCTTGTCTTAGGGAGGGATAAATCCTACTATGCAAAAATCACTCTGATTCAAACAAAAAATTCTTTGAAACTGACATTATTAAGATGCTTGATTTCTTGATTGACAACATATTTGTTACGTTTGGATGACGTGTTTTTCAACAAACAATCGGCATTCCCATTGGAACCAACTGCGCCCCTTTTCTTGCCGACTTGTTCCTTTATTCATATGAGGCTGACTTCATACAGGAACTTCTTAGGAAGAAAGAATAGAAGTCAGCAGTATCCTTTAACTTTACTTTCCGCTATATAGATGATGTTCTCTCACTAAATAATTCAAAATTTGGTGACTATGTTGAACGCATCTATCCCATCGAACATGAGATAAAGGATACATCAGATACAGTTAAGTCTGCCTCATATCTTGACTTACATCTAGAAATTGACAATGAGGGTCGGTTGAAAATAAAACTTTACGACAAAAGAGATGATTTCAGCTTCCCAATTGTGAACTTTCCCTTTTGTATCAACATTCCAGCAGCGCCTGCATACGGAGTATATATCTCCCAGTTGATACGACATTCCAGGGCTTGTATTTCCTAGATAGAAGGTTACTGCTCACAAGGAAGCTATCAAACCAAGAGTTCCAAGTGGTGAAGTTAAAATCACCCTTCGTAAATTTTACGGACGCCATCACGAGTTGGTTGACCGTTATGGAATATCCATTTCACAGATGATAGCGGATATGTTCCTAATGTCGTACCCTTTTCCTGAATGTGACCTACCTAATTAGACTTATTACCGAGTTTGTACTAACATGAGCAACACGACGGGTGCCACATGTGGAGCAGGATCTACTTACCCTTCCGGAGCACCTGAGATCACCCCCAGTTTTTGGTGGGGTTTATGTTGTTCAGTTTTTAGTTTTCTGTGTTGTTTGTGTTTTGTGTACTATTGTTTGTCTGTTGGTCTTTTTATTTTTTAGCCATGGCGTTGTCAGTTTATTTTCGATTTATGAGTTTGAATGTCCCTCTGGTATCTTTCGCCTCTCTTTATCAGGTTATAGGAAACCATTCCCAGGCTTTTGTCAATGTCATTTATGTAATGTTTTACAGGTTACAGGAGACCGTTCTCAGGCATTCGTCAATGTTATTTTTGTAATGTTTTACAGGTTGTAGGAAACCATTCTCAGGCTTTTGTCAATGTCATTTATGTAACGTTTTACAGGTTATAGGAGAGAGACCATTTTCAGGCATTCCTCATAATGAATATTCGACGTATCAGTCATCTTCCGGTTTGCTGGTGAAACAAAGAAAACACTTGTTTCTATCGTGAAAAATACGCAACTACAACCCGATAAATCGATTATCTGGTTGTCTGCATATTTATATCGTAAAATATCAGGTGCTCGACACAATATGAAGCCTTTTTGAACTCGTTCGCTGCGCTCACTCGACAAAAAGCTTCATATTGTGACTCGCAGCTGATGTTTTACAATATCAATATGCAGATAACCTGATAATCGGTACTTCTCAGCATTTCGTCAGTGTCATTTATGTAACGTTTTGCATGGTATAGGAGACCATTCTCAGACATTCGTCAATGTCATTTATGTAACGTTTTACATGGTATCGGAGACCATTCTCAGGCATTCGTCAATGTCAGTCATTTATGTAACGTTTTACAGGTTATAGGAGACCATTATCAGGCTTTCGTCTTTGTAATTTATGTAATGTTTTACAGGTTTTAGGAGACCATTCCCTGGCTTTCGTCTTTGTAATTTATGTAATGTTTTACAGGTTTTAGGAGACCATTCCCTGGCTTTCGTCTTTGTAATTTATGTAATGTTTTACAGGTTATAGGAGACCATTCCCTGGCTTTCGTCTTTGTAATTTATGTAATGTTTTACAGGTTTTAGGAGACCATTCCCTGGCTTTCGTCTTTGTAATTTATGTAATGTTTTACAGGTTATAGGAGCCCATTCCCTGGCTTTCGTCTTTGTAATTTATGTAATGTTTTACAGGTTATAGGAGACCTTTCCCTGGCTTTCGTCTTTGTAATTTATGTAGTGTTTTACAGGTTATAGGAGACCTTTCCCTGGCTTTCGTCTTTGTAATTTATGTAGTGTTTTACAGGTTATAGGAGACCTTTCCCCGGCTTTCGTCTTTGTAATTTATGTAGTGTTTTACAGGTTATAGGAGACCTTTCCCTGGCTTTCGTCTTTGTAATTTATGTAGTGTTTTACAGGTTATAGGAGACCTTTCCCTGGCTTTCGTCTTTGTAATTTATGTAGTGTTTTACAGGTTATAGGAGACCTTTCCCCGGCTTTCGTCTTTGTAATTTATGTAGTGTTTTACAGGTTATAGGAGACCTTTCCCCGGCTTTCGTCTTTGTAATTTATGTAGTGTTTTACAGGTTATAGGAGCCCATTCCCTGGCTTTCGTCTTTGTAATTTATGTAATGTTTTACAGGTTTTAGGAGACCATTCTCTGGCTTTCGTCTTTGTAATTTATGTTATATTTTACAGGTTATAGGAGACCACTCTCAGGCTTTCGTCAATGTCATTTTGTTGTGCTTCCTGTCAAAAGATGTCCGTACAAAACTGACCATAAAATGTCAGAGTATCAGACATTTGTTTTCAAAGAAAACATCAGGACTTCGACCATTGGAATTAGAAGAACTCAGATCAGATAGCAATCAATTAATGGAGGAAATTGAACTTAATGAAGAAAATGATCAGGTCCAAGGTTGACAAAACATCAGAAGAGCTATCTTTTCATCCAATGAAAACAGGCTGATAATATTCTGACATTTTCATTGTACACAGTCCAGAATATGCATAACGTGTTTTGCACTGGACATTTAAATAAGCAAACAACAACCAACAAATTAACCAATCATTGTACTCTACAAATTGATATACTAAGTACAATATGCAATATATGCAAGATGATTTTCAAAGATGCCATAATACTTCTGTAAATAAATTACAATCTTACAATATAATTTGATCAACAGCTAATTGTGTTTGTACAATGACCTCTCATATATAAAGTTTTGGGGGCATTTTAAGTTTACCAAAGGTATCCCTTGCATCCACATCAAATTGCAGGTGCACAGCAAGATCATAAAGCTGTATATTTTGGGATATCGGTATTCCATATTATGGCGAAGATGGTAACAATCACATGACCAGTATTTCATAGTTCTATAACTTAAAAGTTTTATGAAAAATTAGTTTTGAAGATGAAAAGTAGCCTGCAATCATATTTCTTGGTGTATAAATCATCTAAGTGAGCAATCTGACATACAGCAATCCCAAACTTTTTTTGGAAGCAAATGCTGTAAAGCTGTATAAAGTTGTCCTCCTCACAAGAGGCTCAATCGAAGCAACATGGTTTGCTAATAAGGCAGAATAATTTCATGGTGTGTTGACTTTTACATTTTCCTTCATCTAAACATAATACGTCCATGCTCTAACATATATACATAGATAACAACTTACAATGTGAACATATCAAAGTTTGGTTCCAATCCCAAGCAAGGTTCCAGAGTTATCATCCTGAAACACTTTTCTACATTAATTCTGGTCTATGGATTTTGTTAGATCTCTCTCGTATTAGTTGTCGGGTATACATTGATGAGACAGCAACTCGGATACAAATTACCCCAAAAAATCTAGAGGGCAACATACAGTCTTCATCATTGTGATTAAGGTAGGGTATCTTCTGTCATCTTGGATTGTAAAATAGCAGAACACGATAGGTGTAGAATTTTAATTAGGTCAGCAAATTTGGATGGATAAATGTAACTTACTAATGAGAATTTTCATTTAAATGAACGAATTCATGTGATCTTAGGTTATTATCACTCATATTATTACAAAAATAGACTATTTTTGATTGATTTCATTTTTTTTAACTTAAGGGGAGACAACTCCCAGAAAAAGTATAATTTATATAAGAATCTTTAGGACATTTTTCTATTTTATCTTATAGCAGGAAAAAACGTCAGCGATCCCATTTTTTCTTTTGATATTCTGAAAGAATTTTATAAGAGCTATAATTTAGTTTACCTTCTATTCAAATCATGATGCTTTTTCTCTGTACAATCCGTGCAAAATGTGCAATTTCTTTCACATTCTGTAGCTTAAAAACCAGCTTTGTGACCTATCATTTTTATTATATTTTTGAACATATCACAATATATACTACATTTTGCCAAAGTATGAAAAATTTTGTATAATTTTTTTGTTTATACTCCAAACACCTTAAGTTTATCCAGTTATCATTGGTACACTAGATTTTTTTCTTTTCCATGGGCTACTTGATTAACTGGACCCCTGCATGCCAGTGATATACAACATTGATACAAGACTGACAATAAGGTGAACAGTTTTTGTCAAGCCTTGACTTCTGTCGCAGAAAGCAAGACATAAGGATAGTGATCCGGCGGGGGCAGCGTTAACTAGTTAAAAGCTTAACATTTCAGAAGACCTGGATGCTTCATACTTACCTATAGATGCCTTATTTTATGAAGTTTCCATCTGTCATATGTCCATTGTCCTTGACCTCATTTTCATGGTTCAGGGACTGCTTGAAAAAAAAATTTAAGATTTTTTGTAATGTTTAATTTCTCTTATTATGAGTATTAGGATAACTATACTTAGTATGTGTGTACCTTGCAAGGTCCTCATGCCTGTCATACAGTATTCACTTGACCTCGACCTCATTTCATGGAACAGTGAACAAGATTAAGTTTTCATGGTCAAGTCCTCATCTCAGATACTTTAAGCTATAGGTTTACTATCTTTGGAATATGGAATGATTGTAAGGTGTACATGTCCAACTGGTAGGTATTATCTGACCTTGACCTCTTTTCCATGGTTCAGTGGTTAAAGTTAAGATTTTGTGTTTTGGACTGTTTTCTAATACTGTATGCAATAGGTCAACTATATTTGGTGTATGGAAATGTTTTACAATTTACATGTCAGTCTGGCAGGGTTTATTTGACCTTGACCTCATTTTCAAGGTTAATTGTTCAATGTTAAGTTTTTGTGTTTTGGTCTGTTTAAGAAAAACTATAAGCAATAGGTCAACTATATTTGGTGTATTGAATGATTGCAAGGTGTATATGTCTGTCTGGCAGGTAGTATCTGACCTTGACCTCATTTTCATGGTTCATTGGTCAATGTTAAGTTTTCCTGGTTAAGTTCATTTCGTACTATAAGCAATAGGTCAACTATATTATGTATGGAATGATTGTAAGATGCACATGTATTTCTGGCTTGGTTTATCTGACCGTGACCTCATTTTCTTGGATCATGTTAAGTTTATGTGATACTTGTAGTAAAACTTTATATTTTGGACTATCAACATAAAACCAATGGTCAGTAAAGAAGGCGAGACATTTCAGCGTGTGCACTCTTGTTGGTTTATTTCTTGAGATCCTTTAAAGCTTGTAAGATGTATAGGTATTCGAAGATTTGTAATGTAACATTCCAATGTCTATTTTTGGAGGGGCCTAGTGTCCTAGTGGTCTAAGTTGTTTCATCTTCAGTGATCCCTAGTCTTGTCAACACTGAGGTTGTGAGTTCTAACCCCACTCTGGGAAGGTGAGTTCTACTCTAGATTTGACTAGGATTGCCAGATTTTCTGTAGAATATCTTGATTCTCTCTGGCTTCTTCCAACAATAAAAACAGGGCAACATGAAATAGACAAGGGCGTTGAAATAAACACCCCAATCAATCAATATATTTTTGGAATATGGGATTGTTGGGATACTGTCTCAGTGATGCTCTCTCTCTATATATGTAATAATAACATTACGAATGATCTAAATGTCTAAAGTCTAAATGTTTTGTGATAGGTGACTGATCTACCACATAGTTAAGAGAGATAGCAGAGAAACAGTAGAAGGCAAGTGGCAGAAACATACGAAAAATTATTGTAAAATAATTTTATTTCAATATTTCAACTTAAAAATATCAAAAAATATATCTTGAGAGTACATTTTTTACTGTCCTTGAATTTCAATTTGTGTACAAAACAGTTTCAGTTTAGATTGTTCAACAGTGTGTAATTCATATTAAAACATCTCATTAAGAGAGTGGGGGTTGGCAACTAACAAAAACTTTCTACATTACTACATAAATAATCAATTTTAACCTTTTTAGTCGTTGAAGTTTTCTAAGCTGCTAATTTTTTCAAAATCTACTAAATACATTGCCCCTGACATTCTTAAAAGATGAAAGTTAAAATAATTTTGTATTTTTTGTAAATTGTTGTCATTATCTATATATATAACACATAATTCAATATAAAATTTGGAACTTTGATAATGCAATATTTAAAACCTAAAAGATAAATCAGCTTCCCTATAATATACTACCTCTTAGTTTGACAGTTATCTGCTGATAATTCTAACACAGGCGATGGTTATTTACCATTAATCAAAGGAGCAAGTATAATTTTGGATTAATTAGGAAGAATGTGTTGAAAAACAGTAATTGAACCATTTCACATTGAAAATAAAACTAAATCCTGATCACTAGACACAATCAAAATTCATAAAAGTCATATTTCATAATTTACAAAAATAAATAAAATTCTGACAAGACAATTCAGTGTATAAAACCAATAATGAAAAAAAAAATGAATTTTAAAACAAGAACAACAAGAAATACTAGTTTAATTAATACATCCAAACACACAGTTACACACACATTCTAGCACCCAATATGTAAAAAACAGATATGCCTTTGTACAAACAATACTATATAGATTTACTTATATTTCTTTGTTAGATTGAAATGGGATAATCCAACTCAACATCAAATGGAAATATGGATGATATCAAAATTCATTATAAATATGCATAAACTAGAGGCTCTAAAGAGCCTGTGTCGCTCACCTTGGTCTATGTGCATATTAAACAAAGGACACAGGTGGATTCATGACAAAATTGTGTTTTGGTGATGGTGATGTGTTTGTAGATCTTACTTTACTGAACATTCTTGATGCTTACAATCATCTCTATCTATAATGAACTTGGCCCTGTAGTTTCAGTGGAAATTATTTTGTAAAAATTTACAAAATTTATGAAAATTGTTAAAAATTTATTATAAAAGGCAATAACTCCTTAAGGGGTCAATTGACCATTTTGGTCATGTTGACTTATTTGTAGGTCTTACTTTGCTGTACATTATTGCTCTTTACAGTTTACCTCTATCTATAATAATATTCAAGATAATAACCAAAAGCTGAAAAAATTTCTAAAAATTACCAATTCAGGGGCAGCAACCCAACAACAGGTTGCCTGAATGGTCTGAAAATTTAAGGGCAGATAGATCTTGACCTAATGAACAATTTTGTTTTTGAAAGATTTGCTAGAAATGCTTTGGGTTTAGATATATGAGCCAAAAACTGCATTTTACCCTATGTACTATTATTAGCCATGTCGGCCATCTTGGTTTGAGGGCGGGGTCATCAAACACAATTTTTAAACTACATACCCTAATGATGATTGTTTACAACTTTAGTTTAATTCATCTTAGTAGTTTCAGAGGAGAAGATTTTTGTAAAAGATAACAAAAATTTACGAAAAATTGTTAAAAATTGACTATAAAAGAGCAATAACTCCTTAAGGGGTCAACTGACCATTTTGGTCATGTTGACTTATTTGTAGAACTTACTTTGCTGAACATTATTGCTGTTTACAGTTTATCTCTATCTATAATAATATTCAAGATAACCAAATAAGGCAAAATTTCCTTAAAATTACTAATTCAGGGGCAGCAACCTAACAACGGGTTGTCCGATTCATCTAAAAATTTCAGGGCAGATAGATCTTGAGCTAATAAACATTTTTACCCTGTCAGATTTGCTCTCAATGCTTTGGTTTCAGAGATATAAGCCAAAATCTACATTTTATCCCTATGTTCTATTTTTAGCCATGGCGGCCATCTTGGTTAGTTGGCCGGGTCACCGGACACATTTTTTAAACTAGATACCCTAATGATGATATTGGCCAAGTTTGGTTAAATTTGGCCCAGAAGTTTCAGAGGAGAAGATTTTTGTAAAAGTTTACGGATGACGGACGACGGACGCAGGACGACGGACGCCAAGTGATGAGAAAAGCTCACTTGGCCCTTTGGGCCAGGTGAGCTAAAAACTTGAGTATTATAACTTGAATGAATTACATTGACTTTTCCTTTAAATTATGAGGTAAAAAGATAATATTGTCAATGAGACAGTAACCCAAAAACACAAAACATCTATTAAGAGGTTATCATATATATAAAATCATCCAATATCCCAAATAACATTACAGGACAATTTTACATAGCTGCCATTAAATGAATATATATATGTACTAAAAATAAATGTTTAAAAATCACGTATTGTCAACAACTTTCTCTCACAACTTACACATTACATAATTTCTAAAAGTCAAACCTTAAAACTGTAGCTCACAGACAAGTATACCACATCACTCCTTATTGATCTGGTTACATGTACATGTATCAAACAATCAATGTGACCTTTACTTAACAAGTATACAACATTATATTTTAGAATCAACTCTTATATTGACTTCTAACTGCACATGGTTACATCATTTCCATGAATAGAAGTAACATCTAATTTCACATTTATACCATATCATTTCTAACAAATTAAACAATCAACCCTTGAAGTAACCTCTCACAGCACATGTACATCATGCAATATTAAAATATCAACCCTTAATTAAATTAGCATTAATAATCTCCTATACTTGTCTGCATCATTCTTTTGTGTAGATCAAGTTTATGATAAAATCTGAGAACTTCTGAATTAGCTTTCACACAACTCTTTTCAAAGTCCAATACTCGTAAACCTTCCAGACACTTGGCTCGAGACAGTGCTACGTAGGATTGTCCACATTCAAACACACGAGGACAGAGATATTTCTACACAATCTAATGTCATACCCTGCAATGAAAACACTTTAGTTAAACAAGAACTCAGAAAGTTTTCTATTTTTTTTTTTTTAGAATAGTTTATTATCAGTATATGAGATATCTAGCTGATTTGTGAAAAACTGATTATTAAAAAATTCCAATAAAATTTGTACAACAATAAATAAAATTCTTTGTAGAAGCTTTTGAAATAGAAACAAAAAGGAAATAGCAAAAATGATACATGTATCCTCAAAATTACTTCTCCACATAATGTTCTTATTCTGCAATTTGTTTATGAAGGGTATTCCTTAGTTGATTTTAGTTTCCATATTTTAGGTATTTTTTTTTGGGGGGGGGGGGGGGGGGGGGGGGGGTATGCTCATAACCCTTTGACAATTTGAAGGATTTGCAAAGAGCATAACTGAGGAGTAATACATTTTTGACATTTGCATATAGTGCATCAAATTAATTTCAGTTTCTTGAATGTTATTTTTATATTTTAGTGACCAAAACTCACTTGACTTTTATGAATGGAGATAGCCCATGCTAATTTTAATGGAATCTGTTTTCTTGTAGATATATTTCCTCCACTGAACTTAAATGACCATCTGATAGGTTTTATTTCTTCTTCCATGCCACATCTAAACTTCACAATAGGATAACCTGAAAGTGAATTGATAATAAGTTATCATACAACTAAAATATAACTATGTTAAATCTTACAATGACTCATATTTTGATATATTTATAGATTAACGATGGGTTTTCAAACGAGGAGGGTGTTTCTCACCTATAATCTCATCGAAGGGGGCCAGGGAAACTTTTTCAAGTTTGAAATACCATTGATAATCTCTTTATCACTATTTTGCTTATGACATCGTTGATGTTTACATTGACAACTGCACATGCTCTCTTAGTTTCTGACAATAATTTTCTATCTCAAGCAAGTAGCATGATAAGAAAAATTATCACAAAATAATACATTATTGATTATACTATGAGATGTTCCATACATTACTGATTATACTATGAGATGTTTCATACATTATTGATTATACTATGAGATGTTCCATACATTACTGATTATAGTATGAGATGTTCAATACATTATTGATTATACTATGAGATGTTCCATACATTACTGATTATACTATGAGATGTTCCATACATTACTGATTATACTATGAGATGTTCCGTACATTACTGATTATACTATGAGATGTTCCATACATTACTGATTATACTATGAGATGTTCAATACATTATTGATTATACTATGAGATGTTCCATACATTACTGATTATACTATTAGATGTTCCATACATTACTGATTATACTATGAGATGTTCCATACATTATAGATTATACTATCGTACCTCAGTATTTTTTTTACTATATCAAAAAGAATGAAATATTTGTGCTATTTCATTCCACAGACTATTTGTCAGTCAATAGTTTAATAAACATATTTCCCATACTTTTTCATACTAATTTTTAATTGGACAACAATGACGTCATTGACTATTCTACATGGATTTGTGTGCTTGGCAACGTTTAACTATGAAATATCGTAAACGGTATAATCTGTATGTGTCTGTCGTCGTAATTTCAAATTAATATATTACTTACCAGAAGCAATTAAAAAAAGAAAAAGAAAATCTACATGACATATTTTAAGAACTAAAACATAACAAATATATGGTATGGGTCTGTCGGCGTCTTCATAATCTGGAATTGCTTTGGTGTATACATGGTAATATATTTTAGCTAACGTTTATTATATGCATGGGAATTTTTACTCAAGGATTCCTGATCTTGATTAAAGTAAATAAAATATAGAAAAATACCACACAGGCAAATCAAACGATAGTTCACCTTGTGCACGTTTAAGTGACTATTTGGTTTTTTTTTCAAGTGGTGTATTTAGTCTTTTTAGAAAGTTGTTTTGTTCAGTATAATAAAACACTTAATGACTGGTAATGAGTGTAACTGCAAGCTTGTTGTCCCTTTGACACCAACTATTGCCCTCGGCTTTGCCTCGAGCAATAGTTGGTATCTCAGGGACAACAAACTTGCTATTACCCTCATAACCAGTCAATAGGTGTATACTATGAGATGTTCCATACATTACTGATTATACTATGAGATGTTCCATACATTACTGATTATACAATGAGATGTTCAATACATTATTGATTATACTATGAGATGTTCCGTACATTATTGATTATACTATGAGATGTTCCATACATTATTGATTATACTATGAGATGTTCCATACATTATTGATTATACTATGATATGTTCCATATATTATTGATTATACTATGAGATGTACTTGTACCCATCTCTTTGACAAGAGCTTTTTTTGCATTTTCCATATTGGCCCGGGTATCATCCTAAGACCCCTATATCAGCCTGAGACCTGGGCTGATATGGAAAGGGAGATGTATTCATTTTTTTATCATATACATGTACTTCCGACAAATTGTTTTTATATGAGGCATATAATATGTATTAATTTTGTTATGTGAGAGTCACCTAGATATGTACCTGAGACTGTCATGTGCTTTATCTTCACGCTTTTATTAGGTTCCTAATACTGTAGAACTTGAATGATTAACATACATAATTGTTTGTTGGCAAACATTCTGTATACTTGTAATTATTTTAATTGTGGCTTACATTAATCAGATAAAAATAAAGCAAATTTATCTTGATTTACCCCATTTTCATAGTTAAAAGAAATCCTTCACTAACTTATTGACACAGAGATAAGTTTAGCCTGTATGCCATTTTGATAGTTTATGCAAATGTTTGAATTAAAATGGCAACACTTTAACAGGTAAATTATGGAAAACTTTCCAAGTCCATGAACCATGACTGAGGTGACATGCCCATATAATCTCCATGAAAATGAGATGTGCAAATGCTAATGCATCTGTTAAACAAATATCATTGGATCACCATTAGTGGTTCCCCTTTTAGCTGTCCGAATCACAAACTTTAAACAAATTGTTGACTCAACCAAAACCACCAGAAACAGCACTATTAAAAGTCTCGCATCCACTACATCGAGGCAAGACAAAAATAGCTACTCCTTAACTAATTTATAATTTCATCATACTGACTTTTACTTAATAAATTGATTGCACTATATCTGAGGTGATAACATATCAGATGTTGTTTCTATCTAGTTGTAATCAACTATTTCCTTTAACAAATTTAAAAAGAGTGCACACACTGAAATTTCTCACCTGCTTTACTGACCATTGATTTTATGTTGATAGTCCTAAATATAAAGGCTTACTACAAGCATCACATAAACTTAACATGATCTAAGAAAATGAAGTCAAGGTCAGATAACCAAACCAGAAATACATGAACACCTTACAATCATTCCATAAACTTAACATGATCTAAGAAAATGAAGTCAAGGTCAGATAACCAAAACAGAAATACATGAACACCTTACAATCATTCCATAAACCAATTGCAGTTGACCTATTGCTTATTGTTTCTAAGAAACAAACTAAACCATGAAAACTTAATTTTGACCAACGAACAATGAAAATTAGGTCAAGGTCAGATGATACCTGCCAGACAGACATATACACCTTACAATCATTCCATACATCAAATATAGTTGACATATTGATTATAGTTTAAGAAAAACAGACCAAAACACAAAAACTTAACATTGAGCAATGTGCTGTGAAAATGAGGTCAAGGTCAAATAAACCCTGCCAGACTGACATGTAAATGGTAAATTTTTTCCATACACCAAATATAGTTGACCTATTGCATACAGTATTAGAATAAATTGCTTCACTGAGCGCAGCTGTATACAATTGCAGATGTCCAACCCTGAAAAGTTGGGGCCAAAATGGACACAATATTCATGCTTGATACAGGTCTGAATTTGGATTGTAATTAAATTTTTGACACATAATAGGTTTCTGACACAAAATAACTGTAGTCAAAGAACTTCAAATTGGTTACATGATTTGAATTTATATTCAATTTTTTGCTTTTGTGCAATACACTATGCGAATTGACCCCCCCCCCCCCCCCCCCCCCCCCCCCACCCAAAAAAAAATTTTCTTTTAATTTCTGAAATCTGAAATGAGAAAAAAATTGTCCCCCTCCAATTTTTTTCACCTCCTTTCCCTTATTCCAAAAAAATATTCTTTTCCTCAAGTTATGGTCAGTATCTCAGACAATCATCATTTCTTAATACATAATTAACAAGCATTGTATATAAGGGAGGTAATCAAACATTGTTATTTAAATTGATTTCGATTTTGATTTGGATTACCTCCCTTACACTCCTTTTAAATTGTCTCAATTGTCCTTTCACCAGAAAAACCCTTGTTTTTCCCCTTTTTATGCCCCTAATTTCTAAATGGTTTGAGCCATAACCCCCCAAAGTCAATCCTAACCATCCCTTTGTAGTATGGAAACTTGTGGTATAATTTCAGAGAGATTCATACACTTTAACACAAGTTATTGTCTGGAAACTACAAAAATGCTTATTTGAGCCCCTTTTTTGGCCCCTAATTCCTAAACAGTTGGGACCATAACCCCATAAATCAATCCCAACCTTCCTTTTGTGGTTATAAACCTTGTATTTAAATTTTATTGATTTCTATTTACTTATACTAAAGTTATTATCCGGAAACCATCTGTCTTCGGACGACGCTGACGACGACAACGTGATACCAATATACGACCAAACTTTTTTTAATTTTTGCTAAATATAGTTATCCTATTACTCATAATAAGAGAGAAATTAACATTACAAAAATCTTAACTTTTTTCAAGTAGTCACTGAACCATCAAAATGAGGTCAAGGACAATGGACATTTGACTTCATAACATAAGGCATCTATATACAAAGTATGAAGCATCCAGTCTTCTACCTTCTGAAATGTTAAGTTTTTAAGTAGTTAGTTAAAGTCGCTGCCGGATCACTGTCCCTATGTTTCCCTTTCTGTAACAGAAGTCACAGGCTCAACAAAAATGGAAAAAATTAAAACAAGGTTCTAAGGCTATTTAAAAAAAAAAACACAGAACAGGCTCCTGTGTATAAATCAGAAAACAAGTATTTACTTGCACAACAACTACTGTTACTTTGATCTAAATTAACAAAGTTCTTATTTAAAAGAACAAATTTTCTCATGACTTCTCATCTCTGTAAAGGAAAACATAAGAATTGTACAACAAAGATTGATCCCACCAATCAAATATTTACATACAAGCTGTAAACTGTAATGCTTAATGATAGCAGCATCAGTATTTTAATTACAAGGTAAATATATTTCAATCATGAAACAAAATAAGACACTTTATTGTTTGATATTATACCACATTGCCAATATAGACAACGGATGTTAAATAACTTAGTTCAATCACGTCATGCTCAGAACCTAACTTGCAATTTTAATCTTTGATCCTCCTTTAACACTTTAGATACTATTAAGATTTCTCATAATGTATACAGACCCAAGGCTACCACGACCTAATTGCATTACTCACCATGTTTTTTACCTGGTAATTATGATATCACAGGTGAATGAATTAAAACAATATTTATTAGATGCAGCATTGTCACCATTTTTCAGTAATGCATCAGAATGCAACTTATTAAAAATATGCATGATGACACATTAATGTTATATCTGTCAAATAACAATGCTAGCACTGTATGGACCAATATAAACAACATCACTGATAATTGGAGTACTTCATCTAAATCTTACAATATTGTTACAGATTTTTTATGTCATGCTGGGCTTAGATCTGCTAAATATTTTTCCTACAATTTTTTGAAAGCAAGGCATTTTATCCTTTCCTCAAAGCTGTTTCAAGTGAAAATAATTTTCTGACCGAATCAGTCAGTTATTGTATTAACAATATTAATGGATTGTTTATACATGTTACCTTAATGTCATATGATACAGAAGAGATATTACTTTGATTTCATCGGATATGAACTGTTCTAAGAAGGTTTATGAAGGGTGAAAAAATATACCTTCATGGCATACTTTCTGATATTTCAGTTTGAATTTTTCATGTTTGAGGTAAAAAGACAAATTTTAATATTTCAATACTGTTCCACAAAAAATACATTCCCCATTTCCATTCTCAATTTTATTCAAACAAAAACAGATATTTTCACATATTTTTTTTTTGTAAAGCATTCCTTGGTACTTATTTTTTCACTTAGTAAAAATGTTTAATGTTATTATACAGAAAAGAGTTAATTTACAGTGAAAACCATCATAAGTCATAAATTTATAGCATATAGATTTAATACAAAGAAAGCTGTAGAAAACTTACTTGCAAAATGTGTACAGAAAAAAATTCACAATCGATTTTTTTCTTTCAATTTTAACAAAACTTTCTTGAATCAGTACTCATTCAATCTTAAGAAGAAAAAGGGGTTACATATGCTTTTTTTGGGTGTTATTTTTAATGTAGAATTTTTGTGCAGGCATTCCCATTGAATGTCAGAACATATCAGTGTCTTGTTTTTCAATTTATAGAGAGTTGAAAAGATAGTGTAGCCCTTGAAACTTTTTTTAATTTAAGTTGGCCTCACACTTCTTTGTAGATTTTGAGCTGATTTTGAGCTTGTATTAGTGTAATGAAGAATTGTACATGATGTTTGTAATTGTTCTGTTTGATTTAAACCTGCCTACCAAAAACAAAGGTCTTATTACTCCAGAAGTCTTACTCAGAGATGATACAGGATTTGAATAAAATCAAGGTCTACTTTCCTTTTCAATATTCATGCAATGAAAGTTACAAAAAAGTGCAATGACTTAAAAACTTTTAAAGCAAGTGTTTATAAGATTTCTGACAAATATTGTTTGAATAAATTTCACCTCCTGGGGAGAATCTGATCAACACAAGGATATAGATTTTTATCTCTGTTAAGATTTAAAAAAAGGTATACCTTTTCATTTCTTATGTGTCAGACCTCTTTCAAGTAAATAACAAATTATCATTTATTCATATCTATGTACAACACCAGTGGAAAGGTGACTTACCACACATTACTTTCAATAATTATCATAAAAGTTGGTAAAACTTGATTTTAACCTCAATACATATATTTCTCTAATTCTTAGCCCATATATACTTTTCCTGATTGATTAATTGTCGATGGCTTTATGTCCAGTGGCAAATATTTCATGCATGTTCAAGACGAGAGCAAATTAATAATACATACAACAGGTAGTTCCTGTAACCATACTGCACTAAAAAGCTTTGATCCAATGTTTTATCATGGGGTAAGTAAAAATAAACTGTTAACACAGAGATATGTCTTGCCTTTTTGTTATTTTGATAGTAAAATGCAAATGTTGAAATTAAATAGCAATACTTTAACATGGAAGTTATGCAAAATATTCAGTCAATGAACCATGACTGAAGGTACAGGGCCAAACAATCTCCATGGAAATGAGATGTGCCAATGCTAATAAAACTGCATACCAAATATTGACCTACAACTAGTGGTTCCCCATAAACTGACCTAATCACAAACTTATACATGTTAACTAAGCAAAAGTTTCAAGTCAATAGACCATGGCTGAAGGGCAGGGCCAAATAATTGACATGGAAATGAGATTTGCCAATGCTAATACAACTGCATACCAAATATCATTGACCTACCACTAGTGGTTCCCCATAAACTGACCTAATCACAAACTAATACATGTTTAACTAAGCAAAAGTTTCAAAGTCAATAGACCATGGCTGAGGGGCAGAGCCAAATAATCTCCATTGAAATGAGATGTGCAAATACTAATACAACTGCATACCAAATATCATTGACCTACCTCTCCCTAAAATGACCTAATCACAAACTGATACATTGTTGCCGCCACAGGAAACAGCATACCTTTGTCTCGCTTTTTGACTCAGTCAAGGTGAGAAAAAAATCAGTAACTGTTAGAAACTTACAACCTTTGGAAAATACACTATTGGAATTATTTAATGCTCCTTTTGCATACAGCATCAATTTAAATAAAGCAGCATGGTTCATCCATCCAAAACTTTCACATTTACTTTTTAAGATAAAAATCCAGAAAATAAAGAAAAATAAAAGCAGCATCCCCAAATTGATCAATATTTTAAGAACAGTAAAGTAAAAGAAAAATTTCAATATTCCAAGAAGCAATTAAAATCAGTAACTTGACAGGTAATAGAAATAGAAAAATTTTAGAACTTCTCATTGTGTCTTATTAAACTCAGTAAACTTGTATCATACGAATAAAAAACATTACAACATGCTTTCCTTAGCTGTTGTATTTTTCACAAATCATTACACATACATACCATCATTATCTTTCTGATATCCAATAACAATTCCTCTGGCTCCATTTACAAGTCCTTTCTGCACATCTAAATTCTTTGTTAGCATAACCTACAAACAACAACAAAAATATATTATTCAAGGAAATATTACTTTTTTGTCTAATATTAACCAAATTAAATTTATATGAGTTTTGCTACATTAACTCTATGTGATTCATCTATGTTGATTCATGGCTCTAGTAATCTTCTTTTCTTCACAGAAGCTTGCCTGGATTTACTGTTAATCAACTAACGGGAAGCAGATACAGATGCTGAAGTTCCTCCAATATGTTATGATATAAACCAGCCTAAAGGGAGATAATTCAAATCAAATATAGAATATTTTAATTTTGAAAAAGATAACAAACACAAATTATTTTAAATTGTGTTTTTTTACTGGAGATAGTTCTATTCAATGATTTATCATATCAAATAGTTACCTGTGCTCCAATCTTGAGATTTAGTTTGTCTGGAACTGGACACATCCCATTGATCTGCTGTGTATTCACAGAATCACTATCTGTAGATGTAAACAACTTAGATTCTCCTACAATGAAGCAAAATAAGTAGACAATTAACCTATAAAATTAAAGTATTGCAAAAAAAGGTGATTTTAGCTTAATGTAAAGTTTAAACTAAAGTATCTATGAAATATTATGAATATTTATGGAAGATAGCAAACTTCCATCATTTCTACAAAAATAGGAAATTTTGCATATTTCAAAATATATTTGTTAAAAGGAAATATTGAGGACATGCAAAAATTTTTACATGAAAGGTGCTGTTCATATAGATAAACATTGTGGTAAATTAATAAGTTGGTATTCACATGCGCTCTATATTAAGGTATAAAAATAGTATGTAAATTTCAGTAAAAAAATTAGGCCAATTATGGCTTTTCATGCCCTTGCCTTTGGAATGTATTTCTTATAAGAATACAAACTAATGTAGCATATCAAAGTTCAAATATACCATTTAATTTCTGTAGGTGGTGCTCATTTATCTGGTTGACATCCTCTTTGTGTGTACACAGTCTGGTTGCTAGGATACCATCTCTCTGTATACTTTGTTTGGCTGTCGCTCTCAGAGTTGTGTAGACATAGTCAGGACACCTATAAGAATAGTGCTTAGGTGTTGTCTATACTGAATTTAAAGTTTTGCAATCATAATTTGTATATCTATCTCTTGCAAATTGAATTTAACTAGCAATTCATGGCAGAGCTATAAAATCATACATTTGAATCAATAAAATCAAGATTTACGTCAGCAAAGCTTTTAAAATACAATTAACTTTCAATGCAATACTTAATACAACAGGCTGTCAAAATGAGAGCAAACCAGGTTTTGCATTTAATGTTGAGGCAATCATGGGCCATAACTCCTGTACAGCATAAGTGGATACATGTATTGTCAAAAACTTGTCATCAGAAACAACATGTTACAATTTGGAAATGATTTTATGAACAATTCTCAACTTATTGCTGCAAAATGACATAAAATACCATTTTTAATCAATCAAGGACTATAACTCCTTATATGAATAGTGAAAATCTTCTAAAACACCCATGACCTACATTTTGTCATGTTTTTCTCCCCAGCTCTTATCTAAATTTGGAATTTAAAAATAATATCAATGCAAATGAAATAGAATTTGGATATGCAAATATATTCCTGTTTGGTGCTCCAAATGTACAAAACTTAATCTGTCCCATATGTTTAATTTTGTTAAATTGATACGTCTCACAGCACCTTTGAACAAGAATACATATTCCAATGATATTCTGTAAAATTTCCAAACAAATATATTGTTGGAAGTTGACCATTAAATTAATTTCAAAGAAACCGTTGTCATACTACAAACCTCCCTAGTCTTATCTGTTGTAGAATATCTATAAATGATTTATCTGACTGTCTTCTAACTTCTGTTAATTCTATATTCATCTGAATACATTTCTTCCAAGCCTTAGTCTGAAATTATTAAAACAATGCTTCCATAACTAATGTTTCAAAGTTCAATAGGCATTATTTATTAGAAAATTGATCAATTACAATAAAACTTGAATTTGGTCATTCGAAAATACATAAAAAATAATATAAATACATTTTAAAATTAAAGCAAATACCTCAATGATACAAAAAACTAACCAACAATAAACTGCTTTGCTGAGCACAGAGGTCCAACCCTGAACAGTTGGAACAAAAATGGACACAACTAATATTCAAGCTTGATACAGGTCTGAATTTCGATTGTAATTAAATATTTGACACATTATAGGTTTCTGACACAGAATAAATGTAGTCAAAGAACTTGAAATTGGTTTAATATATGATTTGAATTTATATTCAATTAAAGATTTCTTGCTGTTGTGCAATACACTGTGCTGTTGAGCAATACTTAGTAAATCTGTTTTCAGACTATCTACAAAGAATTAGCAAAATAAATTGTGACCCCCAATTTTTCAAAGATTTATTGACAATTTCTTAAATCTTGAGGAAAAAAATTGACCCCCCCAAAAAAATAAGGTTGAAGAAATTTTCTTTTTGTAAAAGGTGGTACAATTTAAGAGACATCCATACACTTAAACACAAGTTATTGTCTGAAAACTAGAAAAATGCTTGTTTTAGACCCTTTTTGGCCCCTAATTCCTGAATGGTTTGGGCAATTACCCCCAAAATGAATCCCAATCTTCTTCTTGTGGTATTGAACTTTGTGGTACAATTTCAGAGGAATTACCCCCAAAATGAATCCCAATCTTCTTCTTGTGGTATTGAACCTTGTGGTAGAATTTCAGAGGATTCAAAATACTTATACACAAGTTATTGTCCTGAAACTAGAAAAATGCTTGTTTTGGGTCTCTTTTTGGCACCTTATTCCTAAACAGTTGGGACCATCACCCCCAAAAACAATCCTAACCTTCCTTTGGTGGTATTGAACCTTTTAATGAAATTTCATAGAGATCCATACACTTAAACTAAAGTTATTGTCCGGAAACCAAATGTCTTCGGACAATGACGACGTGATAGCAATATACGTATAAAAATAACTTAGAGACATCTAAAGGGTAGCATACTATCTTCAACAAGTTAGGGATCAAGCAATACACAGGCCAAACTCTTAACCATCTGGAGTCTATAAAAGTTTTGTATAAATTAAACAAAATTTCTCACTTAACCTTTATGTTGATTATGAGAACAGATCAAAGGATGGTTGCAGAGTTTTGTGGTGAAGGTAACACAATTAAGTCCTTTCAACATATTCTTTATTTATTTACACATATAAAAGTGGCAGTATTAAACAATTTATGATGTTATTTCCTGAATTAAGCCATACCTGAAAACAGAAATTGACTTTTTCTTTGCCTTTAGTAACAGGAGGTAACTGAAGGAAATCTCCACACATTATCAGCTGTATTCCACCAAAAGGTTGATCATTCCTTCTTATCACTCTGTTAAATAAAGAACATGCAATACCATCATAGCATTATAAACATTCAAAAGAATCTATTGTCACTTTAAGTCTTAAATTGATCCTATTCTTTAGACAAAGCTTTATTTTGATAAGTAGCATGAGCAGAATTCTGGTGTCAAACTTAGATGTTTACCTAAAATATTTCAAGTGTCATTATGAATAACGCATTTTCAACTATCAAAGAAGACAGTACACTATAAAAGAAGTGGGATCTGTTTGTGTAGACAATATTCTCCTAATTAATTTTCTTAAAAAATAAGATGAACAAACATTTCATATCCTTATTTCATATGACTTATTTACATGACATGATCATTATCACATTATCTTACAAACAGATTGTATCTGTAAGAACCACTGAGAATTAATTACAATCTCGCTTTGAGTTCAGGTTACCTAGCAACAGCTTCTAATTTTTCAAAGAATTCCCCATCCACCATGGATATTTCATCTATAACTAAATGTTTACACTTTCTCCATTGTTGAGCTACCTGTGCCCGAGATGCTAATTGTACACAATGTTCTAATGTACCCCTTCCTGATCCAATACCTACAAAATTACACATAACTTGACAAATGACAAATTGTTTGATAATTAAACAAATGAATATATATAATCTACCAAACAATGACTTTCAAGTGCAAATTCTATATGTCTGACTTTATACTCACCTGAGTGACTGAGTCAATGCAATTTATAATATACAATATCATGAAAGTCAATATTATCATTTTATTATTTCATCTTTAGATCAAATAAACTATCTTGGCTAAACTTTTCACATTCTTCCATTTCAAAAGTTTTTGACAATGAGATATCTACTGTAAAGGCCATAATAAGCATTTATATATAGAATAAGCAGCTACGTCTTGAGCAATTGATATGCCTTTGAAATTGTTACCAAAAATTGACAATAAAATGGAATATAAACATGATAAAGAAAGCATCTATCAGAAGTAAGTAAAATGTTTGATATGGTTCTGTAGAAAATCATATCCTTTTCAAAATCAAATCTTACTTTCACCAATTTCAAATATTTTTTGCATTATTCCTTCAAAGTTGTTGAACTTGCTTTGATAATACATTGTACATACTGCTACTTATAAAAATAAGAAGATGTGATATGATTGCCAATGAGACAACTCTCCACAAGAGTTCCTATGACATAGAAGTTAACAACTATAGGTCATTGTACGGCCTTCATCAATGAGCTGAACCCATACCTCATAGTCAGCTATAAAAGGCAGAGAGATGACAAATGAAAAACAATTCAAACGAGAAAACTAATGGCCTGATTTATGTACAAAGCAATGAACGAAATGTATATATGTTGCTAATAAGCTACCAATAATTACCTGCAAATGCATGCAGAGTTGTTCCCCCTATATGGCAGGCAGCAACACCAGTACTAGCTGTGGCAAATGTATGCTGAGGTGGCAATGTTCCTGAAAGTTTATTTTTTAAAATTTATCAACAATTATACAATCTCCATGAGAACAATCATACCAGATGATTCTTTTAACTTTCACATTAGATTTATTAAACAGACCTTTCAATCCACAGTATCTATATTTAGGAACCCTATATTGATGGTTACTTTTATTGTCAGTCATTCACTTATTGTTTCATCATCACATTTTCTATTGATTAAAGGAAAATAATATTGTAATTGCTTGAACTGTCAATTTGAATATATGATCATGAATGAAAGAAAACTTTATGGTGTGTAATGATATTTTTTAAAACATATGTACAAATATACATTTTAATTTCGTTACATTTATAATGTAACCAAAGTAACAGTAGTTTGATTAGCAGTTATATCGAGTGCAGCAGAATGAAGTTAAAAAAATTAATCATGTGATTTCTTATGTCTCACAATTCAAGAGATTACTCTCAACAATCTCTATTCATACCATTTTCTTCCATCAAAATATGTTATCAGCTAAATCTAATTTCATAACCAAGTGTTGAAGACCCATTTGTGGCCTTGGGCGGTTTTCTGCTCTTTGGTCGGGTTGTTGTCTCTTTGACACATTCCCCATTTCCATTCTCAATTTTATATTATAATTGACATAAATGATGCTTTATAGTTTTAGTAAATACCTATTATTCTTTTCATGAGAAATGACTTTCCAGTACCAGCACTCCCTGTAAAGAATACACTTCTTCCTCTAGACACTGCCTCTAACACAGAGGACTGTTCTTTACTAAGTTTGACTGGTATAACTGATCTTGGTACTACAGAAACTAATTTTCTGGCCATTTTAAGCCCTTTAGGAGGCTGATTTTCCTTGTTGTTGTCGTCTACCCTTTTCCTCTTTCCTTTAGGTGTGAACAAGTCCTTCTCCAGCTCTTTTGCTCTAGCTTCATGTACAGTGTGAACATCCTTCATAGTCAGAGGACTTATTTCATCAAAAGTTCTCTGACGCTCTGATAATAATTTCTTTCTATCAGACATGAATCCTTTCTGTTTACCAACCTCTAACTTTGTATGCATTGTTCTTAAGAACATCATTAGTTTATCGGGAGGACAGTTGGACAACATAAATTGGATATTCCGATCTGGTATTCTTACTGTGGCCTTTCCATCTTTAACAAACTTTTTGAAGAGTTTGATTTCTCTTAAAGCATATTTGATATCTTTTTTACCGTAATCAACTCTAAGTGTAACATCATTGAATTCATTACGGCCTAATGATAATGACAAACTTTTATAAGGTGTGCGTTTGATGACATCCCCTGTTTTTGTTAAGTCTTCCACAACAACAGAGCAGGTCAGTAAATTCATCTCCATGATGCTTTAAGATTTTCTAAAAGGTAATGTATAAAAACATTTAGTACTTTGCAAAGTAGTTGTAAAATTAAACTTTATTTTGGTATTTTCCTCTTACTGATCATTAACCATACTAGAAGATATTTTAAATTTTTGAGAGCATCAAACTTTTGTACAGTTGTATCAGGTCTCGTAAATCAGAACTTGCTTTACAGATTCAGACAGGGTAACTTTTTGAATACAGCTACCTTATTTTCAGGTCCTACATGTGTAATTTTAACCTTCACTGTCTTTTTTAACATTTTGAGGAAGCGTTCTAAGTAAAGGCTAAAGATTCATTTTTAAATAGCATGATTAGTATCAGCACATTTTCTGTAAGGGCAATAACTCAAATAAGGAGTCGTCAGACAATTTCCTCCATGTAGTCTAAATTGTAGATCTTGTCTTGCTGATCATTTTTGCTCATTTAAGTTTCTATCTACCTATTATAATTTGTAAGATATAAGGCAAAAACACAAAATATTGGTAAAAATCATCATTAAAGGGCAATACACTGCAACTCTAATAAGGAGTCGACTGACGATTTCTACCATGTAAACTTATTTGTAGAACTTGATTTGCTGATCATTTTTGCAATTTTTCTGCTTTGTATCAATCTGATGAGTTCAGCCCTTTTCAACTGATTTTTATAGTTTGTTCTTATGTTGTGCTGTAACACCACTGTCCCAGGTTAGGGGTGTTGAGCACTCACATACATGTTTAACCCGCCACATTCTTTTTGTGCCTGTCCCAAGTCAGGAGCCTGTAGTTCAGTGGTTGTCGTTGGTTCTTGTCTGTCATACACAGTGTTCCAGCTAGCATGAAATGGAGGGGCGCCGCGCCCCGCCCCCGAAATTTTGCACCCCTCTGCCTTTTTTAAGCGCCCCTCTGCCTCTCTGCCCTTCTGGTGCGCCCCTCTGTGCCCTTTTGAAAAAAGTTTAAAAAACGATCTTTTTTCCTCATATCGTCGCCATTTTGTTGAGTTCTTTATTAATTTATACACACTTCATTAAGACAACAGATTAAAATTGTTGACACTTGTTACCTGTATATAATCACCTATTTGATTAGAGTCAATTACTTAATCAGGTGAAATTTACGACCCTGTCTAATCCCTTTGTCCTGAAGCACCAAACATCCAAGTTAAATGAATTGATTTTTTAACACCTGACGATGCAAAATAGAAGATGTGCAAGCATCAATCACATGGAAGTAATGGTAGTCAGACATGGTCTACTGTAGGTTATAAACTGTTGCGCAAAGATAAGATACAAATCCATCAAGACAGTGAACAACATAAATATGCAATAACTGACACAATCGATCAGTTGCCCATTTTAGACCTTACAGGAACAGACAACATTGAAACAATGTATGGTTATACAGAGATAGAAGCTCTGGCAAATACATTTGACATGGACCCTGAAACGCTTCTTATTCAATGGCAGGACTTTATAGCTCTTGTGTCATCAGCAGAACTCACAGATCGTTCCTTACCTAGTCTGCTAGAGCTATTTCATTCACCTTGTCATAAGGATAAAAACCTATTATCTATGCACCCTCTTGTTGCAAAACTATTCAGTGTTGCAATAATACAACCACTCAGTACAGCAGAGGTGGAGAGAATATTCTCTCAGGTCAAATTGATAAAGACAAGTCACAGGGCAAACTTGAAAACACAGACATTAACAAAAATATTAACTGTAAAATTAAACTGTGATGAAACTAAATTTGAAAAAATTCTTGATCAATGTGTGACAACCTTCTTCAAAAAGAAAAACAGAAGACTTGGCAATGTTGTTTAATATTTATTTGCATTTGAACTCTTCTTTGAAAAAATCTGTAGTTCTGAAAGAGAAATGAATATAGTAATGACTATTAGTGCTCTCAGTTTGATTTTAACTTATATGTTCTAAATAAATGATTTTTAAACTTGTATATAATAGTATAGAGTATTTAACTTGGCTACATGCTTGCTAAAAATATGTCATTATGTTTTTCAATGAAAACGCGCTAAAGTGCCCTTTTTTAAAAACGCGCCCCTCTATTTACAAATCCTAGCTGGAACACTGATACATGTATTTGTTTTTCCTAATTGTTTTGTTATAAATCAGGCAGTTAGTTATCTCAGTTGTATTGTTTCATGTTTTTCATGTCAGGGCCTTTTAAAGCCGACAATACGGTATGGATATTTCTCATTGTTGGGGGCCATACAGTTGCCTTTAATTGCTTACATCCACTTCATTAGACTTTTAGTTGACAGTTGTCTCATTTGCAATCATACCACATCTCCTTATTTTTAGTTAAAGCATTGAAGAATGTATAATCATGATAAAATTATTTTATTTGTTAAGATTTGATGATCAGTTCTTCATTTAGTATCGAGATAAGATACCAATCTGTCCTATCATTCAAAAACTATGACAAATATTTGGGACAAGGATTTGTATAGTATACAAATCCTTGTTTGGGATAAAAATAAATTAAAAAATTACGATGTCATTCTTGATGCACAGCAGAGACATGTATTCATATGTCTCTGTGCACAGGCACTTGTTTCTGTAAATGGGGGTTCTACTATCCACACTTGTACGAAAATCACGTGATTTTTCGTACAAGTGTGGATAGTAAACCCCCCATTGACAAAAACAAGTGCCTGTGTTTCGATGGCCAGATCTTTTGACTTTTATAATTAAATAATTTTTATTATGAATATGAAGCAAGAAATTGTGCCTCCTGGTGAATGTTGGACATTAATACCAGTATGTGTACTATGGAAATGAAAAGTGTTGTTTTTACGATGTTATAATAAATTATTCTTTAACACTACCTGTGAAAGTTTGTTTGCGTCTGTGTAAGTTTTCATAACAAGTGCGAGAATTCAAAATGCGATGTTCTCGGAGTTCATTCATTCAAATAAGAAAACTCCCGAAAAAAATTATCCAATGAAAATAATTGTTAGGTTTGACTAATCACGAAGCGTTTCTTTTCTAGAGAATTTCTAAAATGAAAGTGAAAGAAGAAGATTTGCAGATGTTTTTTGTGTGAAAAAAATATTGTGTATTTAAAATGATCTGTTGGTAAACTTATCAAAGCTCGGTTGAAATATAGATGGTAATTTGCGTTGACTAATAAAATTACAACATACAAGAGAACTAGAAACACAGGATTTATTTATTGTTTTGTTTGTTCATTTTGATAATAATAATAAATAAATAGATAAATCAGCATTTATATTTAGAGTAGGCATAATTTATAAAACAAGTATATAACATAAGCTCTTCTTCTTCTTCTTCTTCTGGTATACAGTTACAGCTTCATTTATATTGAATGAAGCTGTAACTGTATACCAGCTCTATGGAGATTTTAACCGACATACAAGTCATAACTATTCAATACAAACAAACTTTCCTTCTCAATTTTATTGCAATCAGTTAAATAAAAACACAAAATGAGGCACAAGGCTTATAATAATAATATTAATAATAAATTCTTTATTTTCAGAAGGTTACACAGTTAACAAAACAGTTAATCCGCCCGTGAACTTCTAATATGCATATAAAAATACAAAATTTTTAAAAGATAATACTACATAAACAAAAAGGTAACAAAGCAAAATCATATTACAAGTAGACAATTACCATTTACTTAAATAAAAAGTATATTTATAGTAAAATTGTTACATTAAACTGCAAAAAGTTCTCTTCTTGTATTTTCAAGAGATAAGCTTGACATTTTGTTAGGCAGTTAAGCTTCCTTATGGGAGCACCCTAGATTTGTGTTCTACCCAATAAATGCCGAAATACGTGCCATTGTTATTATCTAGCTGGCTATTATGTTATTTATAACTAATTGGACATTTTTTTAATACTTTTATTTCTGGAATACAAAAAATATGACCAGAAAAACCTTAAATGATCGTCGAACAACCCAAAACTTTTGAAGTTGCACATAGGAAGCAGTGCTCAATAGAAATCGGTACATAGTTTATTATCCCCTGTGCTTTTGGCTATGATGTCAAAGAACAATTGTATGAAATATTTCATCGCCGAAAATCTGTAATTACAAGTCGTTTATATTTATAAATAATGAAGAGATATCAAAACCTGCATTCAAAATGATCCTTGCTGCCCTCTTTTGTAACTAGTATTATTTGTCAATATTAGTTTTTGAAGCATTTCCCACATGGTACAGCAGTAGTCCATTATTGAAAGTATATATCCGTTACAATGTAGTTTGAGAACACTTACTGGAAGATATGCTTTTAGTCGGCCCATAAGATGCAGTCTGCTTACAATTTCTGCACAAAGTTTGTCAGTTTTTGATTATGAACGACGTCTATTATATGTTCATCATCAAATTTGATACTTAGTTCTGTTTCAAAAACATTTTGTCTCTTAGACTGAATTAACATGACCTTAGTCTTATCTCTATTCAATATCATATCATTATCATTACACCAATTCATAACATTACAAAAATCTACATTCATAAATACATTTAAATCTGTTAATGATGGAGATGACTTATATAGTGTTGATCATCAGCATAAAGTTCAGAAGAAACATTTTCAAGCACAAGAGATAAACCATTGATAAATATTATAAAAAGTAAAGGTCTAGTATGGAACCATGTGAAACTCTTGACTGAACTTCTCTGAAATGAGATTCAATATCATTGATCATAACCTTTTGAAATCTTCCTGATAAATAAGATTTAAACCAATCAATATCATGATCATCACAGTGATACATTTGTAATTTGCTCAGTAAAATATGATGATTAACAATATCAAATGCTTTTCTAAAGTCTAGAAAAAGAGCACAAGTTAAATTCCCATTAACCATTTCGCTTAGCCAAGCATCAATTAATTTAAGGAGGGCAGTGTTACATGAAGGCTTGATTTTCATGTGATGAAGACATAATCTTTAAATCAGTTTAATTGGCTAGAGATATAAGGGGAGGGTTGAAATCTCACAAAACATGTTTAACCCAGCTACATTTTTGTGCCTGAACCCAAGTCAGCAACCTCTGACCTTCGTTACTCTTGTATGTTTTTTTATTTTGATTCATATGTATTTTTTTAACGGAGTTTAGTGTGACGTCCATTTTCACTGAACTAGTATACATTATTGTTAAGGGGCTAGCTGAAGCCTGCCTCAGGGTGTGGGATTTTCTTGCTGTGTTGAAGACCCATTGGTGGCCTTTTGCTGTTTTCTGCACTTTGACGCATTCCCCTTTTCCATTCTCAATTTTATTTTCCCCAGGCCCTTTAAGCAATGCCGACCCATGGTCCCATAATTTCGGAGCATGGTCCTATTAATATAAGCGTGGTCCTATAATTTTAAGTTTTAAATAATATTATTAGAAAAATGTTATCCACTTGTTCAATCTCAATCAGACCTGGGGTAATTAAAAATGTAATTGTAATTAGTTGTAATTAATTACAATTTTGAAAGTAATTCAATGTAATGTGTAATTGAACATATTTTCAATTACATGTAATTGAAAGTAATTAATTACATTGCCTTTTCCCATGTAATTATGAATTAACTTTCAATTACATTTAGATATTTGCTGGGACATTTTAAACATTTTTGGCTTTTCCGATGCTATCACACATCATGCACTAGTAAATTGTATTTTTCCTACAATTAGATTGCACTTGGCACTTTTTTTTATACTTTATAAACATTTTAATGTGTTGAAAAATATAAAACATTCCTTAATACTTCATTAATTAATATAATCTTTAATATTTGTATTTAGTTCATTAATTATTTTTTACATGTATGCATACATAAAAAATCTAAAAATTAAAAACAATACCAATTTATTGACATGATTGGCATGAATGAATGAATGAATGAATACTTTATTTGCAAGAAGCATATACATGCTATGGCAAACGAAAAAATATATACAATAAACGACAAACAAAACACAGCAGAGAACAGTAGTTACAAAGTATACAATAATATTATGACAATATATGTGATCTAATTTTCCAAGCTGCATTTAAATAATTGCATAGTTTTACTGTCAAAGATTTACAATGAGCTTGTAATAAATTATCTAACTTGTACTGATTTGGCCAAGAATAATAAAATTTAGGTAAAAATTCTAATCGCACAGATCTATATGCTGGTCATGATAAAACAAAATGATATTCGTCCTCTAAAACATTCATATTGCAACATATACAAATTCTATTTTCTCTTTGAGTATTTAGATAACGACCAACTTCAACATTTAATTTAAGTGTGCCGCTATGCAATTTAGTTAATATCAATACATTACAATGGAAATCTAGGTATTTTTCAAAACCAAATACTAGTTTATATCGTTTATAAATTCATAATTTGTTACACTCTTCTAAAGCTGTATTCCAGCTTTGTAAAAATTGATCTTTGATATGTGTTTTAACACAATCAAATGATAATTTACTAGTATCTTGTAAAATCCATACATCATTAAATCCAAGGTTACATAACAAATTTTTGACGTTAGACGCCCAATTAATTTTACCATTATTTGCATATAATTTGTAAATATGTTGTTCTAACAATTAACAATAATCTTAGCCTCAGGATATTTCCTTCACTTAACTAATTTTGAAGTATAAGAATGTCCCTTGATTAAAATGCCAGAGGAAATTTCTATTTTTAACCTGATAACCATCATATTTATATGCGAAAATCTGTTCAGATGGATATTATCTAAACACTTTCTACAAAATTTTAGATATAGCAGTCAAAATATTCAAGAATGGAGTCCAATATACTTGACAATTTTGACTTGCTAAAAGACAAGTTTGGAAATTTAATAAAAGCAAAATGCTACCATATTGCCCTTCTGTAAAAAAAAATTGAAGTTTGAAATTTACCTTAAATTTTGCGACTCACATGTCACGATAAGGTAAATAAGAAAACCTTTTTAAAAAATCTCAGTTTACATTTTTAGTAGAAACTTGAAATTTTAAGAAAAACATTTTTAAGAATAAAAAACATATTCAACTGTATCTATTTGATATATAATTAATTACATTTGAAAACCAATGTAATTGTGATGTAATTAATTACATTTAAAAATCAATGTAATTAAAATGTAATTAATTACTTTGGCATGTAATTGACCCCAGGTCTGATCTCATTGTCTTATCCCTGTGGTTTAAAATTCCAGATGAAATTTAACCACCACATTGATTGTTAACATCACATGAGCCATTTATCTGATGAGGTTAAACTGTTGTTGATTGGATGAATTATCCCTTGTAACAGGATTCTTTTGTGCTTTGATAAACAGTGAGTTAGTTTATGACTTCTTACAATAATTTTATGGCTCCACTCACCATCCAAGCGCTGACAAGTGACACAATCAAATACATGTATATTCATTTGTACATAAACAGTGCAGACAGTTGAACACCAACTGAAAATTAAATAAAAGATGAACCTTTGCAAATGTTTGCCCAGGAAATAATAATAATTGACCATTAATTATGCATGTGTTTATTTTGTACTCAGTGAATTTAATGAGTTTTAAAAATTAGAAACAGCTAATATGGACCCTTCAGAGAGTTCTATTGACAGTCACAGCTTTTGTATCATTCAAGGTACTGTAAATAGGTTCAGTCATGTTAACCAAAGACATGATAAGTATTTGAAATGTTAAAAAAAAAAAAATGGTTTTCACAACAAATTACGAAGAATTACTCCCCTTATTTTTGCCTATTTTATAATTCTAGTGCTGGAAACTATGTTTATTCATAAAAAAATATTTTAATTAGAAATTGATTACAAAATATAAAGATGAAATGCAATTTGAAAAAAATAAAATTCAGTATACATTCATTATATATATATAGTAATAAAACATTGTAAATGAGAAATAATATCTTCAATACTTCTAATGAAATCGAACAGTATTAAAAACATTTTATATTAAATATGTAAATGTTGTTTATGATAGTGAATTTGTCACTCATCTACTAGTAGTTAGACAACCTGAAGTGGATTATATAGTTATTTAAATTAATTGAAGAAAATGAATAAAACTATTTCATGTAAGGACCCTGTACTTTCTATATATACACATTGAAGAATTCATTCTATTTATTATGTAGACAATGAATGACCCTTCAACACAGTACAAAAGAAAACAAAACTCAAGTAAATAAAAGAGGCTCTCAAGAGCCTGAATCGCTCACCTGTATTTCAGAGGAGAAGATTTTTAAATGTTAGCAAACTTGATGAACAAATTGGATACAATTTATAAACAAGATACCCTAAGGAACATTTAATTAAAGTTTGAAGGTAATTGGCCCAGTAGTTTCAGAGGAGAAGATTTTTAAATGTTAGCAAACTTGATGAACAAATTGTGTAAAATTGTCTTTAAAGGGCAATAACTCCTTAAGGGGTCAATTGACAATTATGGTCATATTAACTTTTTTGTAGATCTTACTTTGCTAAACATTATTGCTGCTTACAGTTTATATATATCTATAATAATATTCAAAATAATAACAAAAAACTGGAAAATTTTGTTAAAACTACCAATTCGGTGGCAGCAACCCTACAATGGGTTGTTCGATTCGTCTGAAAATTTCAGAGCTGATAGATCTTGACAAATTGGACAATTTTACCCCATGTCAGAAATGCTCTAAAAGCTTTAGTTTTTGAGATATAAGCCAAAAACTGCATTTGACCCCTATGTTCTATTTTTAGCCATGGCGGCCATGTTTGTCGATGGATCAAAACTTAGGATACAATTTATAAACTAGATACCCTAAGGAACATTTAGTTAAAGTTTGAAGGTATTTGGCCCAGTAGTTTCAGAGGAGAAGATTTTTGAAAAGCTAAAAAGATAATAAACCCTATAAAAAGAACTCTACAACAACTTTCCATAAGGATAGAGGAATTTTGTCACCACACGATGCAAACAACATGTTCAATGCATATTTCTAATTTATCACCACCTTTATTATGGTACTATCCTAAAATCATGGGGAGAACACTGTAAGTTAACATGGTTATAGCAGAGACATATAATACATTTAAAATAATAATAGAAAGAAGATTTATAAGCATGATACATTGTAAGCTAAGTATTTAAGCAAAAAGCAAATAAAAAACTGAACTAAGCATGATTAGAAAGCTAGTAAAAAAATTCGTAAGGGTTCCGCGGAACCCAGTGTCTCGCCTACTTTTTGTGTTAATCGCAGGCTCAACAAAATTGAGGAAAAAAATTAATAAAAATATTCCTCTCTATACTATCTTTTGATTGTAAGTAGCTTCTGTCCAAGTTTGGTAAAAATCCAGGATAATTTATGAATCTAATAAATGTTTTAAAAACTTAAACTGCAGAATGTATGTAATGTTGACTGGAAGAAAAACTAAGTCCATTTATAAGTAAAATATGGAAAAGATGGAACAAAATTTTATCAAAATTTCCTTCTAGATACTAGCTTTTGATCATAAACAAGCTTCTGTCCAAGTGTGGTACAAATCCAGGATAGTTTAAGAAAGTTGTTAAAATTTTAAAAACTTTATCCACAGAGTGAATGTAATGTTAACTGGCAGAAAAACTAAGTCCATTTATAAGTAAAATACGGAAAAAATGGAATTTTTTTTTTACAAAATTTACTTCTGGATACTATCTTATGATCATAAACAACCTTCTTTCCAAGTTTGGTAGAAATCCAGGATAGTTTAAGAAAGTTATTAAAATTTCAAAAACTTTAACCACAGAGTGAATGTAATGTTTCCTGGCAGAAAAACTAAGTCCACTTATAAGTAAAATACGGAAAAAATGGAATTTTTTTTTTACAAAATTTACTTTTGAATATAATCTTATGATCATAATCAAGCTTCTGTCCAAGTTTGGTAGAAATCCAGGATAGTTTAAGAAAGTTATTAAAATTTCAAAAACTTTAACCACAGAGTGAATGTAATGTTTCCTGGCAGAAAAACTAAGTCCACTTATAAGTAAAATATGGAAAAAATGGAATTTTTTTTTTACAAAATTTACTTTTGAATATAATCTTATGATCATAAACAAGCTTCTGTCCAAGTTTGGTAGAAATCCAGGATAGTTTAAGAAAGTTATTAAAATTTCAAAAACTTTAACCACAGAGTGAATATTTGTGGACGCCGCCGACGACGACGACGACGCCGACGGAATGTAGGATCGCTATGTCTCGCTTTTTCGACAAAAGTCGAAGGCTCGACAATGAATCGCATAAACAATTCAAGAAAGGATATGATCTAAATCTGCACAAATTGTGCACTTACAATGTACAGTCATTTCCATTCCATGACTTTGAAATATTTTTAAACTGACTGAAATTAGCAATTTTTCTAATCATTCCATAAAACAGCAGCTGTATTTTTAAAAGAATTCTTACCATAGGTGGATGTTCTATCCCTAGGTATATATACAATGTTATAATATCCTGAGATTACTATAACACATGTGTTATAGTAATCTCGGGAAAATCTAAATTTATATTTACAATCTTTCAGTATAACTAAGTCATGTAAACATGGTGGAGACAATTTATACAAAATTTTAAAACACTCATTTAGTCTCTGGTTCTTATATTTATTATAGCCATGTTACGCATATATGTCTAATTTTAAGGGTTAGAAACTTCACTTGTACAAGTAATTCATAATGCTCACTGCTGTAAAGCCGTTTCTTGATTTTTTTTCTAATCTAATGTATTATTTTTGTTGCATCTATCCAAAAATAAGTGATTAATGCTATATTCAGACAAGATGTAATAAGATATAAAACATTAGTAGCAAATAATGATTTTAATGTAAAACACAGCAGCAAGATTCACATTACAAAAAACAAATAAATAAAAAAAGAAGCATTTAGAAGTTGACTGGCTGAACATACAAAGTTTAAACCTTGCAAAATGTTAGATACCTGACAGTATACAGTTTAGTTTCTTCACTGCAGGTCATACCAGAATTTATAATTTGAGCAATCGTAAGGCTACACTCTACATGCTCTAGTGCTTTTGTTGTAACAAAAAAGAAAACTATGTCATTTGGTGTCTGGTGGAAAGTTGTCTCATTGGCAATCATACCACATCATATTTTTATATCAGGTGACTTGCTCACATGATTACCATGAACACGAAGAAACACAAAATCTGTTTTCCCAAGGACAGTAAGTGATTTGAATGAAAAACACACAATTTAAAATTAGCAGTTAGTATAAAAAAGAAGATGTGGTATGATTGCCAATGAGACAACTCTCCACAAGAGACCAAATGACACAGAAATTAACAACTATAGGTCACTGTACGGCCTTCAACAATGAGCAAAGCCCATACCGCACAGTCAGCTATAAAAGGCCTCGAAATGACAATGTAAAACAATTAAAATTCAGTGCCTGTTACAGTTTAGTGAAATAAAATGTCTTATGTCTTATGTATTATGCTTATTTATAAAAAAAAAATGATTTACTAATTGATCAGCTTTAACTTTAAATAAACAAATGTGTACATATATTTTTATAACAATTTCACAGTAGATTATGGGAATACTGTTTATAACATTTTCACGGTAGATTATGGGAATACTGTTAATACTGACATCATTAATTATTTGTCTGTTACAGAATGAATTATGACATCATTTTCTTGGAAGAAGAAAACAGGTAGTAATGTAAAGCGATCTGTATCGACAGCATTTGAAGAAGACACAAAAGATGACAATGAGCAGTTAGAAGGAGTTTATTGGCTGACACTTGTTCCACACAGAAAAGTCATTTGTCTTGAAGATGCTTTATCCAAAAGTTCCAGACTTAAAAATGAAGGGTCATTATTGGCTGAATCTGAAAGGTAAAATTACAAGACTTTGTCTGAGATTGGTTGGACATCCAACAATCTGAAAGGTAAAATTTCAAGACTTTGTCTGAGATTGGTTGGACATCCAACAATTTGAAAGGTTTTTAGTAGACTATAGTGTAGAGATGAAGATTAATTAGTTGCTGAATCTGAAAGATTTTATTGGATGAATCATATTTGTTTTTTCCATAAATGTTTGAGAATTAAGAGAAAGAGGGATTATCAGTTATATTTTTACCAAGGCAAGTTTTTGATTTTTTACTAATTAGTTTGTTCAGAGACAATAAAACATAACATGATAACAAAAAGGGAGGAAATGTGGCATGATTTCGTCTTTTTTTTTATATAAATGATACAATGACAAATTTTTGTGATTTTCAAATGAACTTGTACAATTACAGATACTGGGAAGCCATTAAGAAATGGGATGAGGCGCTACAGTTTACACCTGAAGATGAAACAATCTATGAAATGAAAGCTCAGGTATGCAATGTTATGTAAATGAATGGCTATTATTTATTTTGAATTTATTGAACCATTCGCGGATTATGTAAAATGTGAAGAGTCAAAAATTAATTTTATGGTTCAATAAATTCAAAATAAATAATAGCCATTCATTATAAATAAATTTCTATCAAAAATAAGGCTCAAAGAGCTTTTTATATTATTTATATTAACAATAGCAATGTACACACATGTTGGCGTATGAATACACAACGTCAGTGTGGGCATGTCGCCATAAAAATTAACAACATTGAAAATAAAGGTAATACTTTTAACCAATCAGAAGACAGTAAATACACCAAATTTATTTATTCAATAATGTTAACAAAAAAGTTGAGGGATTTCTTTGAAGCATGAATTAAATTGAACAGCTAACATCTACCTTATTTGGTCTCTGGTTTATAGTTGTCTGATTGGAAATCATACCTCATCTTCTTGTTTCTATAGCATCAAAGTATTGTTCATCATGTATACAGATTCTCCATCTGTTGTAAACAAATTCTGATATAACTGTTATCAGGAATGGAGAAATATTGTATCTCATTAGCTAACAGAGGGAAATATTTACCCGTCAATGTTCAGTCTTTTGAAAACCTCTTATTATGATAGGACAACACTGTTAGTATTGATGTGATGACATGATGAATTACCTACCAATCACAGTACCTGATAATACTTGTTAATTCTGCCAGACCAAAATATATTTTTAACCACCAGGCTAGTACTGTATAGGTATATGCTTTAAGAGAGAGGCAAAAGATACAAAAGAACATGATACTCATGAGTCTAAAATAGACTGACAACGCCATGGCAAAAAATGAAAAAGAATGAAAGACAAACAACGGTGTACAAAACACAACATATAAAACTAAAGACAAACCCCAACAAAAACCAGGGGTGATCTCATGTACTCTGGAATGGTAAGCAGATCATGCTTCGTATGTGGCACCCGTCGTGTTGCTCATGTAAGTACAAACCAGGTGATAAGTCTAATTTGCTAGGTCACATTCGAGGAAAAGTGGACAGGATGGTATCTTCGACAATTGGAACATATCTGTTGTCCTCTTTGAAACAGATATACCATAACAGTCAACCTACTGGTGATGGTGTCAGTAAGACATTCGTTTGGAAAATATAATTTGAACAATTTTAGTGAGATGGTTTAAAGTGAAGGAGATATGAGTATCTGAGATGAAATGTTGGTATTGTATGGCCTGCAGTTTCATACACCAAATAGATATATGTTTAAGACAATTTATGAATTGAAATAGGTTTTCTATATCAATTGGAAAGAGTTAAACTGAGTTAAAATTGAAACCAGCTCGCATGCTAAATAATTATACTAAACCAAATTTGATAACAACTAGTCTGAGATAAATTTGATGTCTGGGTCCCTAAAAATGTCATTAGATGTTACAGCAATCTCACACTATTGTACAATTATCAATGAATATTTCACAGGCTTTATTAGCATTGTGTGAAGTTTTTCCTGCTTTAGCTATGGCTGAAAAGGTGGTGAAATTAAAACCAACATGGTGGACGGGCTATCAGACATTAGGACGTGCCCAGCTAGGTCTGGGTGAAGTCAGACAGGTATAATATAATACATTGTTTTGTTGTAGAAAGTTACTTGGCTTGTTATATTCTGTTTACATTGATTACAATGAATTTGGCAGACAAATAAAAGAAAACAGGAAACACTTTTATTGGTGTTTTTAATTAATAAGCATTGAAATAATTTTAATTTTCGAGCTAGTTTAAAATTGAAATTTGATTTAAAAGTTGTAAGTTAGTGTGAAGATGCTGAAAAGTCAACAAAAGTTTACATAAACAGAAAAAAATTGTACATAATTGTATATTGTCACTAAGAAAAGAAAAAAAAAATGTATTTTTCTCCCCTTAAAAGGAAGTAACAGAATGTGAGACATATATATGTTTATCTGATGGCAGTGGCAAGGATTTAAATGATTTGTATAAAACATAATATATCAGAAGGTAGACCTGGCCTTATGTTAAGAAGTTTTTGTCTGTGATATGTACATTGTATTTGACCTCATTTTCATGTTTAAGAGGCTGCTTAACAAAGTGTGAATTTCTCATTTAATCAGTAAAAGGATAAGTATGTTTCTTATATATGATTTTTGCAAGGTCAACATGTCTGTTCCTCAGGATTCACATCCTATATTTGTAATTTCTTTGAGAAATTGGTACCCTTTTAATTTCTCAGGTATAATTAACCTATTGAAAGCCCTCTTTTTAGAGAAGTTAGATTAATGAGAATAATAAAAGTTTCTATATGATTGTTTAAAATAGAAATATTTTTAATAGGCAATTAATTGTATTAAATAATTATTTCAGGCAATGAAGAGTTTTTCAAGGGCAGTTCATATAAATCCAGCTGAAGAAGAGCTATGGAAGGAAGACTTTTTATGGTCATTCTCATTACTGAAACAAAAAGATGATCAAAAGAAATTGTTAGAACAGGAAATTGATAATTCTAAAGTTAAACTGACAGAACTGAATAGCTCTGATGAAGAGAAAGTGACAGAAATTAGTAATGAAAAACAAGGGACGAGTGAGAAAAATACAAGTTTATCTACAATTGATAAACATCCACATGAACCAGAAATAAAGTATCTACCTCAAAATTATGTACATATGAGAGATAAATGATACTTTAGTTTGATTGTCAATTTTTACATTCTATCACTGTCATGACTGTAGCTTAAAGTATTATTAAGAGAAGAGATATTTATCAATATTCAAGGGTTTACTATTCTCCCATTCTGTAGTATAACCCTTGGTTAAGTGGGGCATCAGTTTAGCTGTGTGGGATGCATAGTGGAATGGGGATGTTGAATCAATTGCCACATGTATGGTGAATGCCACGCTCTCATTTTTGCAGGCGTATATTGGTATCACGTCGTCATCAGCGTCGTCCAAAGACATTTGGTTTCCAGACAATAACTTTAGTTTAAGTGTATGGATCTCTATAAAATTTAACCAAAAAGTTCAATACCACAAAAGGAAGGTTGGGTTTGTTTTTGGGGGTGATGGTCCCAACGGTTTAGGAATTAGGGGCCAAAACAAGCATTTTTCTAGTTTCAGGGTAAATTTTTGTTTTTGTTTTTTTTTGGGGGGGGGGGGGCAATTTTTTTTCCTCAAAAGAAAATTCTCTTCAAATATTATTTTTTTTGGAGGGGGGGGGGGGTCAATTTTTTTTTCCTCAAGATTTAAGAAATTGTCAATTTTCCAAAGAAAAAAATTGGGGGTCACAATTTATTTTGCTAATTCTTTGTATATAGTCTTAAAACAGATTTACTAAATATTGCGCAACAGCACAGTGTATTGCACAACAGCAAGAAATCTTCAATTGAATATAAATTCAAATCATACAACCAATTTCAAGTTCTTTGACTACATTTATTCTGTGTCAGAAACCTATAATGTGTCAAATATTTAATTTCAATCCAAATTCAGACTTGTATCAAGCTTGAATATTGTGTCCATTTTTGCCCCAACTGTTCACGGTTGGACCTCTGCAGACGTATCCAGCTGCTCTCGTTGAAGCAGTTTATTTCATTTTGCCTATTATCTTGAAAACTATGATATATAAAGGGAATCTTAAATAACAAAAATTATCAGTAAGACAACATTTAGAAAAGAGGCCAAAATCATCAGACTCCTTATAGCAGGTATTGCCCTAAAAATAAATGATGATTTTTTGTCGAGCCTGCGACTTTTGTCGCAGAAAGCTCGACATAGGGATAGTGATCCGGCGGCGGCGGCTACGGCGGCGGCGGCTACGGCGGCGGCGGCGTTAGCTAACTTCTTAAAAGCTTTATATTTTAGAAGCTAGAAGACCTGGATGCTTCATACTTTGTATATAGATGCCTTATGTTACGAAGTTTCCGTCTGTCATATGTCCAATGTCCTTGACCTCATTTTCATGATTCAGTGACTACTTGAAAAAAAAGTCAACATTTTTTGTAATGTTAATTTCTTTCTTATTATAAGTAATAGGATAACTATATTTAGTATGTGCGTACCTTGCAAGGTCCTCATGCCTGTCAGACAATTTTCATTTGACCTCGACCTCATTTCATGGATCAGTGAACCAGGTTAAGTTTTCGTGGTCAAGTCCATATATCAGATACTATAAGCAGTAGGTCTACTATATTTGGTATATGGAATGATTGTAAGGTGTACATGTCCAACTGGTAGGTGTCATCTGACCTTGACCTCATTTTCATGGTTCAGTGGTCAAAGTTAAGTTTTTGAGTTTTGGTCTTTTTTTCTAATACTACATGCAATAGGTCAACTATAAATGGTGTATTGAATGATTGTAAGGTGTACATGTCTGGCTGGCAGGTGTCATCTGACCTTGACCTCATTTTCATGGTTCAGTGGTCAAAGTTAAGTTGTTGAGTTTTGGTCTTTTTTTCTAATACTATATGTAATAGTTCAACTATATTTGGTGTATGGAAATATTTTATGATCTATATGTCAGTCACGCAGGTTTTATTTGACCTTGACCTCATTTTCAAGGTTCATTGCTCAGTGTTAAGTTTTTGTGTTTTGGTCTGTTTTTCTTATACTGTATGCAATAGGTCTACTATATTTGGTGTATGGAATGATTGTAAGGTGTACATGTCTGGCTGGCAGGTGTCATCTGACCTTGACCTCATTTTCATGGATCAGTGGTCAAAGTTAAGTTTTTGAGTTTTGGTCTTTTTTTCTAATACTATATGCAATAGTTCAACTATATTTGGTGTATGGAAATATTTTATGATCTTAATGTCAGTCAGGCAGGTTTTATTTGACCTTGACCTCATTTTCAAGGTTCATTGCTCAGTGTTAAGTTTTTGTGTTTTGGTCTGTTTTTCTTAAACTATAAACAATAGGTCAACTATATTTGTTGTATGGAAGAATTGTTAGCTGTAAATACCTGCCTAGCATGGTTCATCTGACCTTGACCTCATTTTCATGGTTCATTGGTCAATGTTTAGTTTACTTGGTTAATGTTAAGTTTATGTGACAGTTGTAATAAAGCTTTATATTTAGGACTATCAACATAATATAAATGATTAGTAAAGAAGGCGAGACATTTCAGCGTGTGCACTCTTGTTTTCCAATTGTTTGCGCTTTTTCATATTATCTTGAAATAGATAGAGAGAAACTTTTATAGCAAAAATGATCAGCGAAACAAGATCTACAAATAGGTCAACATAGCCGAAATTGTCAATTGACTCCTTGTAGGAGCTATTGCCTTTAAATGATGGTTTTTTTTAACTCTTTTTGTGTTTTTGGGTAAAAACTATAAAAGACAGTGAGAAACTGTAAATAGTAAAACGTTAAGCAAGACAAAATCCACAAATAAGTCAACAAAGCCAAATTTGTCATTCCACTATTAATAGCAGTAAATGCCCTTGAATCATGACTTTTACCCAATGAGTGAAAATAAACAGAAAAAGTTATCAATGATCAGCACTACAAGATCAACAAAAAGATTTTATTATAGTTTACAATGTTGAAGATTGGTCATTGTTGAAGATGCACTTGGAACAAGGTGAGTAACACAATCTTTAGAGCCTCTAGTTTTGTCTGGATTGCAACGAAAGTCTGCTATGCTAGACATAGGGAATAATTCAGGGCACCGGATGCCACAGCTTAAACTATTTGTATAAAGCTTTATATTTTAGAAGGTAGAAGACAGGGATGCTTCATACCTTGTATACAGATACCTTCTGTTAAGATGTCTACATATGTCATATGTCTATTGTCCTTGACCTCATTTTCATGGTTCAGCAACTGCTTGAGAAAAAAAATAATATATTATTATGAGTAATATGTAATATTTATTTGGTATATAGGTTCCTACAGCGTTGACATGTCCCTCAGACAGGTTTAACCTGACCTTGACCTCATTTGATGGATAATTGGTCAAGGTTAAAGTTATGTGATTAGTAGATCAACTATATGTGGTGTATGGAATGATTGTAAGGGGTACATGTCAGTCTGGCAGGTTTGATCTGACCATGACCTTATTTTCATGGTTCATTGGTCAATGTTTAGTTTTTGTGGAGCCTGCGACTTTTGTCGCAAAAACGAGACATAGCGATCCTAAAGACGACGGCGGCGGCGTCCACAAATATTCACTCTGTGGTTATCCAGAAGTAAATTTTGTACAAAAAAAATCCTGTTTATCCGTATTTTACTTATAAATGGACTTAGTTTTTCTGCCAGTTAACATTACATTCACTCTGTGGATAAAGTTTTTTAAATGTTGATAACTTTCTTAAAATATCCTGGATTTCTACCAAACTTGGACAGAAGCTTGTTTATGATCATAAGATAGTATCCAGAAGTAAATTTTGTAAAAAAAAAAATCATGTTTATCCGTATTTTACTTATAAATGGACTTAGTTTTTCTGCCAGTTAACATTACATTCACTCTGTGGTTAAAGTTTTTTAAATTTTAATAACTTTCTTAAAATATCCTGGATTTCTACCAAACTTGGACAGAAGCTTGTTTCTGATCAAAAGCTAGTATCTAAAAGGAAATTTTGTAAAAATTTATTACCTGTTTTTTCTGTATATTACTTATAAATGGACTTAGTTTTTCTTCCAGTTAACATTACATACAGTCTGCAGTTAAAGTTTTTAAAACATTTATTAGATTCATAAACCATCCTTGATTTTTACCAAATTTGGATAGAAGCTTCTTACAATCAAAAGATAGTATCTAGAGAAAAATGTAAATATTATCTTTTTATCATTTGTTCATTCAATAAATTTATGTTTCAACTCTTATAAATCTATAGATTTGATTGCATACTGTATTCATTTTTTACAAGTTTAACTTTTTTCATACATTTCAAAAGTTTTATTTCATTAACTGTAAATCTATTATGTGCATTCCCCTATCACACTGAAGACATAGACAACAGCAAAAGTAGGCAAGACACTGGGTTCTGTGGAACCCTGTCGAATTTTTATGTCTCCACCGTAGCGGAGGGGGCATTAAGTTTTACCCTTGTCCATCTGTACGTACGTACATCCCAAAGTTGGTTTCCGTTCTCTAACTTAAGTTTGCCTCAACCAAATGTTATGAAACTGATACACAATGCTAATTACCACAAAACACGGATCAAGTTTGAATTTTGGTAGCGTCACATTAATCGTTCTAGAGTTATGCTCCTTTACAAATGGAAAAATTGCTGAATTTTTCGTTCCCGTTCTTTAACTTTAGTTTGCCTTAACCAAATGTTATGAAACTTATACTCAATGCTTATTACCACAAAATACAGATCAAGTTTGAGTTTTGGTGGTGTCACTTTAACTGTTCTAGAGTTATGCCCTTTACAAATGGAAAAATTGCTGAATTTTTCGTTTCCAATCTCTGACTTAAGTTAGCCTCAACCAAAAGTTATGAAACTTATACACGATGCTTATTACCACAAAACACAGATCAAGTTTGAATTTTAGAGGTGTCACTTTAAACCGCTCTAGAGTTATGCCCCTTTACAAATGGAAAAATTGCTGAATTTTTCGTTTCGTTCTCTAACTTAAGTTTGCCTCAACCAAATTTTATGAAACTTATACACAATACTTATACCACAAAACTCAGATCAAGTATAAATTTGGTTAGCGTCACTTTTACTGTTCTTCAGTTATGTCCCTTTATAACTTTATATGATATGCAAGCAGGGGAATCATCTGTGTCCCATGGACATATTCCCCATTTATTTGTGTTTTAGTCTTCTTTTTTTATGCCCCTGCTGTAGCTGAGGGGGCATTAAGTTTTACCCTTATCCGTCACTCCGTCCGTACGTCCCAATGTTGGTTTCCGTTCTCTAACTTTATGTTTGCCTCAACCAAATGTTATGAAACTTATACACAATGCTTATTACAACAAAGCACAGATTAAGTTTGAATTTTGGTGGCATCACTTATACCTTTTTAGAGTTATGCCCCTTTACAAATGGAAAATTGCTGAATTTTTCGTTTCCGTTCTCTTACTTTAGTTTGCCTCAACCAAATGTTATGAAACTTATACTCAATGCTTATTACCACAAAACACAAATCAAGTTTGAATTTTGGTGGCGTCACTTCAACCGTTGTAGAGTTATGCCCCTTAACAAATGAAAAAAATGCTGAATTTTTCGTTTCCGTTCTTTAACTTTAGATTGCCTCAACCAAATGTTATGAAACTTATACACAATGCTTATTACCACAAAATACAGATCATGTTTGAATTTTGGTGGTGTCACTTTTACCTTTCTAGAGTTATGCCCCTTTACAAATGGAAAAATTGCTGAATTTTTCGTTTCCGTTCTTTTCAAGTACTATAAGCAATAGGTCAGCTATATTTGGTGTATTGCATAATTGTTATTTGTACATGTTGGTCTGGCAGGACCCATCTTACCTTGACCTCATTATCCTAAATCTTTAAAAATGTTAAGTTATTTGATACTTGTAGTAAAACCTTTAAACATAAATGCAATGGTCAGTAAAGCAGGCGAGACATTTCAGCGTGCATAATCTTGTTAAATACATGCATGCAACCCATATGTACAGTGATGCATTTGATGTGCCCATTATTTTCATGCTGGACAATACTTCTGAATGGAATAAACCATAAAGATGTATATAAATGGCAACTAAAGAACCACTAAATGATAGTGTGACCTTTTTTCAGTGTACTGGAAAGGTGTTTATTTTCTGGTCTTTAGACCCAAACTTATTCTAAGGTTTTACTTTCACATTTTTCTTGTTTTTTCTAATAATTCTTATATTCCTAAAATAAAGCATTTACTAAAGGGAATGTTTTTACAATTCTATAATCTTAAAATTAGCAAAATCAAACCCCTTGCAAATTAAGATTTAAAAGTAAGAAATGCCAATTACTTTACAATAGAATGACATTTAGGAAGAACAAACTTGCCAGCCACTTTACAATAGAGTTGACTACAGGACGTACAAACTCGCCAGCCACTTTACAATAGAGTTGACTACAGGACGTACAAACTTGCCAGCCACTTTACAATAGAGTTGACTACAGGACGTACAAACTCGCCAGCCACTTTACAATAGAGTTGACTACAGGACGTACAAACTCGCCAGCCACTTTACAATAGAGTTGACTACAGGACGTACAAACTCGCCAGCCACTTTACAATAGAGTTGACTACAGGACGTACAAACTTGCCAGCCACTTTACAATAGAGTTGACTACAGGACGTACAAACTCGCCAGCCACTTTACAATAGAGTTGACTACAGGACGTACAAACTCGCCAGCCACTTTACAATAGAGTTGACTACAGGACGTACAAACTCGCCAGCCACTTTACAATAGAGTTGACTACAGGACGTACAAACTTGCCAGCCACTTTACAATAGAGTTGACTACAGGACGTACAAACTCGCCAGCCACTTTACAATAGAGTTGACTACAGGACGTACAAACTCGCCAGCCACTTTACAATAGAGTTGACTACAGGACGTACAAACTCGCCAGCCACTTTACAATAGAGTTGACTACAGGACGTACAAACTCGCCAGCCACTTTACAATAGAGTTGACTACAGGACGTACAAACTCGCCAGCCACTTTACAATAGAGTTGACTACAGGACGTACAAACTCGCCAGCCACTTTACAATAGAGTTGACTACAGGACGTACAACCTTGCCAGCCACTTTACAATAGAGTTGACTACAGGACGTACAAACTCGCCAGCCACTTTACAATAGAGTTGACTACAGGACGTACAAACTCGCCAGCCACTTTACAATAGAGTTGACTACAGGACGTACAACCTTGCCAGCCACTTTACAATAGAGTTGACTACAGGACGTACAACCTTGCCAGCCACTTTACAATAGAGTTGACTACAGGACGTACAAACTCGCCAGCCACTTTACAATAGAGTTGACTACAGGACGTACAAACTCGCCAGCCACTTTACAATAGAGTTGACTACAGGACGTACAAACTCGCCAGCCACTTTACAATAGAGTTGACTACAGGACGTACAACCTTGCCAGCCACTTTACAATAGAGTTGACTACAGGACGTACAACCTTGCCAGCCACTTTACAATAGAGTTGACTACAGGACGTACAAACTCGCCAGCCACTTTACAATAGAGTTGACTACAGGACGTACAAACTCGCCAGCCACTTTACAATAGAGTTGACTACAGGACGTACAAACTCGCCAGCCACTTTACAATAGAGTTGACTACAGGACGTACAACCTTGCCAGCCACTTTACAATAGAGTTGACTACAGGACGTACAACCTTGCCAGCCACTTTACAATAGAGTTGACTACAGGACGTTCAACCTTGCCAGCCACTTTACAATAGAGTTGACTACAGGACGTACAAACTCACCAGCCACTTTACAATAGAGTTGACTACAGGACGTACAATCTCGCCAGCCACTTTACAATAGAGTTGACTACAGGACGTACAAACTCGCCAGCCACTTTACAATAGAGTTGACTACAGGACGTACAAACTCGCCAGCCACTTTACAATAGAGTTGACTACAGGACGTACAAACTTGCAAATAATTTTATAGCTCTTTATGTGAGTGTTGCCTTTTGGAATTAATTAAAAACATACATACTCACGGGTAGTAAGGTCGTCATATCGAGGAGCATTTAGTACAGTGATATTGTCATAGTTTGGTTAAGTTGATCATGGTTTGGTTAAGTTACTTTCCAGAACGATTGCCTCAGTTCTTTTCAATGAGCAAATAAAAAGCAAATTACATGTTTGAATCTATATTGCAAGTCTAACGATCTAATTTGAAATTGTTGTTTTTAAGAAAATAACGCAGGATAATAAAAATATCGAAATTGATATGGTTTGGTTAAGCGATTGGCATGGTTCAGTTAAGTGTCTAGACATTCGTCATGGTTTTGATCAAATTTGTCATGATTTAGATCCAAATTAATACATATTTGTAATGTTTGAAGGCGCTTTTGAAAAAACGAAGTTACACAATTAAGACTAAGAAGAAAAAAGGCCTTTTAAACCAAATTTGGTGGGCGTAATCGGCAAACCGTACATTTATACATTTTTTATTTTTGGTGTGTTCCTAAGATATAATTTATATAACCACTGCTCTTTTTAACTGGAATTCGATTTAATAAATTACAAAAACAGAAAGCGTTGCTTCTGTTTCACCTAGACTCTTTTTGTCCACGGTGGACCCTGCCGGGGATAATTATCGCAAGAGGCGTCAATAGTCAAATGATTAAAGACGTCTTCTTAGAGTTGCAAAACATAGCAGCTAGTAAAAAAATAATCTTTGTTCTACATTTTTTCTATCAAATTATACATCTGTTGTTTTTATTTGAACCAGATTATGTCTATGATGAATAAAGGGAGATTGGAGGGAGGGTGTGTGTGTGTTTCAACGCCCATGATACAGTAACCCAACTACAAAACTAACCAAACGATATTGAGAGGGCACCATACAGTCTTTAACCCTCCACGGAACAAAATGTTAATATGGACAACAATTAAAACTTTTTTTTTTAATAAACTATTAGTGAAATTAATATGAATATTACTTTCAAAATTCCGAATTTAGATATATGTAAGCTCACAATTTCGAAAGAAATGGGTCCCTAATGTCCATTTTTACGAATGAATAAAAAATATTATGTTCTTGTCATATTGTATAAGTGTATTGTGTAGTATTACTTAACCCGTTTAATATAAATTAGAAGATGTGGTATGAGTACCAATGAGACAACTCTCCATCCAAGTCACAATGTATAAAAAGTTAACATTTATAGGTCAAAGTACGGCCTTCAACACCGAACAGCAAGCTATAAAGGGCCCCAAAATGACTAGTGTAAAACAATTCAAACAGGAAAACCAACGGTCTAATCTATATAAAAACGAGAAGGGAGAAACACTATGAACCACACCAACAAACGACAACCACTAAACAGCATGCAGGCTCCAGACTTAGGACAGGTGCACACAAAAGCAGAGTTTTTTCTTTTATGCAATAAAGTTCCGATAATATCAGAAAACATTTTGTCGGTCTAGTTTTTAGTATAAGAAAATGTACATTATTAAATGTGATCGAAAAAAATAATTTTAAAATTCCAAGATACACGTGTTATTTTGTTTAGTACAAGTACATTTAAACTGTACGGCCTTATTTTTGACCCGACTAGACGAGAAATCACAGAGACTAAGATGGATGAAGATGAATATTGGCAGCAGAATTCCATTCTGAAATTAAAAAAAAAGAACAAACTTTTTGTCTTGGATTCATCATTTTTTTATTAGTTGTTATTGGCTTGGAAATTTCAGTAAAAGCAAATACTCACAGATCGGTTCTTTGTGTCTTTGGTATTTATGTGACTTGATGATTTTGCTTTGTATTGATTTGATGAGTCAATTTTTTTTCAACTGATTTTTATTGTTTGTTGTGAAGTTATACTACTGCCCAAGCGAAGGGGAGGGTTGGGAGGCCGCAAACATTTAAACCACGCCATATTCTGTATGTGCCTGTCTTAAGTCCAGAGAGTCTATAATGCAGTGACTGTCGTTTGTTACTGTATATCATATTTATTTTTCGCTTATTGTTAGAACATAAATCAGGCCGTTGGTTTTCTCATTTGTTTTGCTTTACCTATAATTTTGTCGGAGCCTTTAATTGCTTGCTAAGAGGTATGGGTTTTGTTAATTGTTGAAGGCCGTACGGTGACCTAACATTTACGTCATTTGGTCTCGGGTGGATAGTTGTCTCATTGGAAATCATACCGCATCTACTTATTATATATCACTATGTGCTTTCTCATGTCCTTTTGTATTCCGAATAAAACTACTTTTAAATAAAATTGCTATTGAAATGGCATCGATATGACAACGTTACTACCCGTGATCACTACTTATGCCGTGACCTTCAGGAAGTACACACATGCCATCCACTTCATGATAGAGTGGCCTTCAGAAAGTACAAACATACCTACTTCTTATGCATTGACCTTCAGGAAGAAAAAAAAACATGCCAATCACTTCATGATAGAGTGGTCTTCAGGAAGTACAAACATACCTACTTCTTATGCCGTGACCTCCAGGAAGTACACACATGTCATCCACTTTATAATAGAGTGGACAGCAGAAAGTACAAACGTTTGTCAATCACCTTTTATAATGAAGAATGGGAAGTACATGCATGCCAATCACTAGAGGGCGTTTTGGAAAAACAAACTTGCTAATTGTTCTGCTCTTTGGAAGAACATAAAGTCACCCATATCTTACTGTGGAAGGAAATACTGTCTGAAAGAACAAGTCTGTGAAGCACCTCTTTCAAGTGGAGGGAGGAATAAATATTCATGAAACTCTTACCAACTATCCTATTATAATCGAGAAGTCATTTTTGGAAGTACAAACGTGCTAATAACACGAAAGCGCTTTATTCTAAAAATAAACGTACGATCAGCACATTTAAAATCCTATAAAATTACAAAACGAAGCAGTCAATTCTTATAGTTACATCTTTCAACGTCACATTTCAATGAAACAATATCTGTATTTTCATGCCAGTAGCGCAGTACTGACTACTGGTTTGATACTTACTGTGTGTGTGTGTTTAATTTTCAGGCACAAAGCAAAATAAGCAATACCAGTTAAGACCTGTACAACGAATAAAAACACATAAAACATTCGAATCGGTAAAACATAACGAAAGGAAACCAGAACGTATCAGTGTTTTCTATATGTATACTACTGTAGTAAGCTGGATTTTGGAATTTGTAGACATATTGAACCACAATGAAAGTATCTGAAATCCAATAACCAAAGTTAATCAGGCCAATCAATAGACATATATAATTGACTGAAAAATACTGTGATCTTGAAGATGTTACTGTGTATTTTGTCATCTGTAAAATATACACGGTTTGGAGATACAGGACGATAATCCTTAAAATGCTTTTTACAATAAATAAACTTCGATATTTTGTGACAACTGGAAGTATTTTAGCCATTATGTACAGAGTATAATATCCCGTCGTTATGATAAAGCTAAGAATCAACAGAACATTTCCGATGTCGTATGAGGTATTCTCTTTACGCGGCCTACACTGATGTTGTATTGCACGAAAACTCACAACAAGAGCAAGTAGTAACACAGTATGTTCGAATATGGTAGTAATAGAGGAAATCCAGAAAAAATCAGCTCCTATGACCTCGAATAATCTGAGTATTTCAATAACTAGTCTAGGTAAATTTATTATGCCACTTATTAGTATAATACAGTATGTTAACACTAGCTTTCGTGCAACAGCGATTGGTCTACGCGTGACGCTACTTTGGCTTTGTAATAATGCTGTCATTTCTGACGTTTCATAAGTAGCATTGTTGTCCTCTTCTATATTATATGGCTTATTCGATGTCCTCGGCCATATTCCTGACAAAAATATCAAGCACAGTAGCGGATACTCAGCGAGCATGGGTTCTGTAAAAGGACTCACGTTATGTAACAGATGACGTATGGAAAGAGATGAGTTACTTTCTGAGCATCGATATGTGGTGTTTTGAGAAGTGTCCGAAACATTTTGTCTGCTGGTAGCATGGTACGTCCACGACGAAATATTTGTGACAACCATTATGATCAAACCATAAAAGGTAAACAAAGAATTGACGAATTGGTATTTAGAAAAATAATAGATAAAACATGTTTGTACCACATAAAATGAAAGACACGAAATGTCATATAACACGGCTCCTTCCAGACTATCGTTGATATGGACAAACGCCTTACATTCAACATGGAAAGCTATCTTGAGGATACGAAACACTACACATCCAAGACAAAACAAACATAAGAATTTCAACTTAAGGGATTTGCTTTTTTCGTGAGATTCAGTATCTAATATATATGTCTTTCTGATTTGTTCTCGTATCCCAACTGAGATACAGGACAAAATTCCAACGCAGTTCAAGCCAATCAGAAGTGGTCGGGATATCTCAGGTGCTGTGCTGCTTTTTTGCTCAAACGTGTTACAAATGTACATTACTTCAGCTAGTATATATATATGACTACTAAACTAGTTAGCATGATTAATCCCGCGATACTTCCATCATGGGAGATGTAGTTCTGGTGTTTAATGTTTTTACAGTTCCCAGCTGTCATGGGAAGAATAAATATCGCTTTACACCAGTCTTTTGCTTTGTTCATTCTGAAGATCTAGTCACCGCCTACAAATATACAATGAATGGTTTATAATCATTGCAACCAAAATTTAAGATGAATGAACCAATTGTTTTCATCTTTAGTTTAAATGTAATATTTTATACAAAAAAAAAAAGAGAGACGAAGAAAGCAAAGAGACGTTCAAAACTCATAAGTCGAGAGAAACTGACAAAACGCATGGCAAAAAACGAAAGTCAATGATAATTGGTGTGCAGTTGTATAAGCATTTGCGAGTCTCATTATGATAAGTCAATGGTATTTGGTATTCAGTTTTATAAGCATTGGTATTTCTCATTTCAATGGAGGTTATTTGACACTGCACATTCAGTCCTTGTTCATTGACTATGATTGTTTTCCATAGTTTAAATGTTTGAATATTGCCATTTATGATTTATCCCTTTCTAAAACAATATATTTGTATTTACTTGGCCATACTTTTTAATGAAACAATTCTTTCAATCTGTCTTTAAGTTTAAGATATCTGTGTAAAGGACAGAGATGTCAAATGTGTCTATAGTATTGCAAGAGGAAAGTGTTTTTTATCGTATGTACTCCAACAGATTTTTGGACGTTTTAAGAATCCAAAGCTGCTGTACAATGCCTGTAGAGTATTCTGAAGTTCTACATTGATGATAAATTGAAGCGAAAGTAGTTTATCTATGTTCAAATCTCGTAAAACGGCTAGTAGGAGATAAATTAAGGTAACAAACAAAACCTGAGGGAAGCGCATGAACTCCAAAAGGAAGGATACAAGATAAGCTTCACCCAACTTGCGAATTTACATTCAATCACAATGTCATAATGGGAAACAGGACACCATCGGTGAAATTAGACGACCTTAATCCAAAGATATAAGATAGGGAAAACATATTGCTAGTGAGTTGAGACACCGACTTATCGATCAATTTGTGATGGTGACCGAACTTATATAGTGTCGATTTCAGTCGTTCTTCATAAAAGATAGGCAAAAGATACCAGAGGGACATTCAAACTCATAAGTCGAAAATAAACTGACAACGCCATGGCTAAAAAAGAAAAAGACCAACAAACAAACAGACAAACAAAAGTACACAAAACACAACATAGAAAACTAAAGACTGAGTAACACGATCCCCACCAAAAACTGGGGGTGATCGCAGGTGCTCCGAAAGGGTAAGCAGATTTTTTTTGTTAGGAACCAATCTAATTAAAATATATTTATCCTGCAATTGGGTGTCTTATCATACATTAACAGACCAACATATATCGCTAGCCTGTATTTGTGCACTATACAGATATCGCTTTAAAGCTCCTCCCACAGCCGGACTACTTTTGTGTATTGCTGTATACGAGTGTTGTATGAACTCAGAATGTGTATTGCAGTCGCATTCTAAAGACGTATTGCTTGACCTTATGTGAACTATAGATTAATTTACGTTCTGTTTGTATTCAAGCATTTTTTTAGAGCAATATGAAATAAAAATGAAAATATTTTCTATTCCATTCTTTTAATTTTATATTTTATATGTCATAAATGCATTATTGTCATAAATGCATTACATGTGTAACACACAAAATCAACCATGCAACAATGTCAATAATCAGTGAATATCACGCGGTCAGTTCGGAATTCTGAAGCGTAGGACAAATCATACACTTCTGTCTTAAATCGGACAATGTTTTGCTATTTCTTTTTACTGTTGAAATTAGTTGTTATGTTATAATAAATAATTATTAACTTTGGGCGATGTATTATTGTTGACCATGTGAGGTTCTTTTCGGCGTACCGACCATCAGCTGATTGTGTGATTTTTTTTTTAATATTACCACGCGGGCCTCAAAGGTAAAATAAAGAAAAGCTAATATGTTTTAAATCGAAATTATTGCAATAAATGTGAGTTTTCTGTCTTTCAAAGCAAACACAATGTACAAAATTAATTGCAGGATAAAGACAATGACTGTTTAAATTTGTACTCGGTTCGAAACAGGAGTAATAGCTCGCTGAAGCTCGCATTACACCTGTTTCTTAGCCTCGTACAAATACAGCTGATATTTAAAGACACTAAACAGTTATTGTCTTTATCTCTGTTTTCGATATACTCACATACGCAAGTTACGATTGATCGATATTTTAATTAGATTGGTAATAAGCACACCCCTGTTAACAAACTCCGTGAACATGCACTAGTAACGTATTAACTGAGATATGTAAACGGCATACGAGGGAGCAGAGGATATGTGGAAATTTGAAAAGTTCATTAGGATATATGAGATGTTAACACTAATTCAAATGTGGATTATTGAGTGACAGAACATCATCAATATATTTGAAAGTAAAATTAAAGAAGTTTGCAAGATGCTTTTTCATTGTGTCTATGAGAAGGTTCTGTATACATTCTGCTTCATATGAGTACAAAAGCAATCCGGCAAGTAGTAAAACAACTGAAATGAAAAACAAAAAAGGTAACAGCCCGAATTATGCTCAAACATTTCTTAATATCATTTTACTGCTATAACATAAGTGAATGTCAATGCAACCAAATGTTTATACATGGATAAACCCATTTCATCACGTCACGGATATGAATTCCTACACAGGCTAGATTGATGAAACTGTTTCTCTTGCTATGATTTTTCGTGTATTTTATTTGAATTATAAGTAATAACGCTAATAGGTTCGGACTATAATAAGTTTGTTTGTGGGTCGGTCGAGTTTCCAAACCAGTAAAATCCTTCAAAGTAACCTTGTGTATTATAATATTGGTTTTTGGATGCTATTTATTGTTTCAGAATATAAAAGCTACCAGTCTAGTTCCAACTCTGGCCGGTCTTTCCGAAAAATGATCGTTTCTTGATAAAACGAGAAAACGATCTCTGAAAGGTTAAAACTGGCATTTCAAGCACTCGACATGAAGTTGTAAAGAAAAAGACTGGTCGAGAAGAATAATATGTCCGTGTTTATTTACATGTTTTGTTACGGTCTTTTACCTTGAGAGCAAGCATGTAAACAATTCGACGAAGCGTTCCGACCGTGCGAGACCTTCATTGGTAGTCAATGTCGTTAAACACACCCTAGTAGTAGACTAAGCGTTCCGACCGTGTGATACCCTCATTGGTAGTCAATGTCGTTAAACACACCCTAGTAGTAGACTAAGCGTTCCGACCGTGTGATACCCTCATAGGTAGTCAATATCGTTAAACACACCCTAGTAGTAGATTAAGCGTTCCGAACGTGCGAGACCCTCATTGGTAGTCAATGTCGTTAAACACACCTTAGTAGTAGACTAAGCGTTCCGAACGTGCGAGACCCTCATTGGTAGTCAAGGTCGTTAACCACTCCCTAGTAGTAGACTAAGCGTTCCGACCGTGTGATAACCTCATAGGTAGTCAAGGTCGATAACACACCCTAGTAGTAGACTAAGCGTTCCGACCGTGTGATACCCTCATTGGTAGTCAAGGTCGATAACACACCCTAGTAGTAGACTAAGCGTTCCGACCGTGTGATACCCTCATTGGTAGTCAATGTCGTTAAACACACCCTAGTAGTAGACTAAGCGTTCCGACCGTGTGATACCCTCATAAGTAGTCAATATCGTTAAACACACCCTAGTAGTAGACTAAGCGTTCCGAACGTGCGAGACCCTCATTGGTAGTCAATGTCGTTAAACACACCTTAGTAGTAGACTAAGCGTTCCGAACGTGCGAGACCCTCATTGGTAGTCAAGGTCGTTAACCACTCCCTAGTAGTAGACTAAGCGTTCCGACCGTGTGATAACCTCATAGGTAGTCAAGGTCGATAACACACCCTAGTAGTAGACTAAGCGTTCCGACCGTGTGATACCCTCATTGGTAGTCAAGGTCGATAACACACCCTAGAAGTAGACTTAGCGTTCTGACCGTGTGAGACCCTCATTGGTAGTCAAGGCCGTTTAACACCCCTAATAGTAGACTAAGCGTTACGATATCGTACAAAGAATTAGGTCGAATTTTACCTGTTTTAGTTTTACTCACATGATTTAAAGTAGTTTAAACCTACAGGAAGTTAAACATTAAAGTAATTATATAAATACGTGCAACATCTTTTCAACACAATTTTACATACACAAATAAAATAAAGTCGATATTGAACGATACACATTGCTGTTATAGATTTTGATATAATCTTGCACATTTTTCATGTTGTTACATCCTTATCCAAAATAAAAAAATTATATCTGGAAGACAATACATAGCTTTAATTTGAATTAAAATTTCGTATAGTTAAGACTTGTCTTCTTATTCGTCTTTTGTTAAATACATTATATAAAAGTGTACAAAAATATTACAAAATTCCAGTTATTAGCTGTCTTTAAGCATTTCAATTTGACCATACATTTAAAGCCTTAATATTGCTAGTTACTCAAAATATGCATGAATAAATCTAAAAAGGATAGATATTTAATAGGATCTGGTGTAAAATAATGCAAACGGTCCTACCTCTTTGTACGGTATCATCATTCTACGTTTACATGTAAAAAACTGTAAACTTTCCCTGTATAAGCATGCATATTTTGCCACTATTACCAATAAAACAGCACCAGCTGACATATTAGTAAGCCCAACAATCAGAACCGTACTTACTTTTGATATTTCGAGGACAAATGTATACGTCTATGTCTTGATAAATATAAAATGCATATTTTATGCCAACTTATTCTGTATTTACTAGTGTCCCATCTACACATACCGTCCAAAGAATATTGTGCTAGTTCAGAAGTAAAAATTACCTATGGTACACTTCCTTGTCAGTAATAATTTAGTCTTTTGTTTAATAGTGCTTCCTTATAATAACTTGATATAGACTTACAATTT